TTTTCCATAGATGGTCTAATATAGATGATTAAATTTGCCATGGTCTCACGCTTGGCAGGTGAGTTGGCCATCGCAATTTTTATCACTTGAGAGCTGTTAGAGCTTTAAATCAGCTGGAACATTCTGCTGTCCACATCTTGTTTCTGTTTCCTACGTTGCGTCTTACAAAACCCATGAGATGATATTATGGGTGGTGGATTTTCCTACGCCACTATTTTGCGGCACTTATTTAGCACGAACGTGCAATACGTAAATCTAATGGAATATCATAATTTGATTGATCATGCAAAACATGATTTACATGACTCAACATATTGAAAGCTCGAAAGTTTTTTTTTAATAAAATAATTTAATTTAAAATTTTTTTAATTCTCCTATAAAAATATTTCTCTCGTTGTTGTGAGTAGTGTGTAAGTGAAATATTTATTAAAACCTTAATTTCTAACAGACATAAGAAGGAGAGAAAAAAAGAGATTCTCGATTTGACTACATGTTTTTATGGTATCTTTATTACTCGAACCGATTTTATTAACACTTTTTAGTTAAAGGGGTGGTATTCCAGAGGCGGTCCCATATAAATTCGAAGAAAAATTCCACTCTCAATCGTGAAAAAGTTGGGCATAAAGTTTTTATTATAACTATTACGAATACATTTATTCTGAGTATGTGATATTGCTATAAAAAATAAAAAAAACAGCTTCAAAGAACTAAAAAGAATGAAAAAATCCACATAATATCTTCTGATGTCGGGCCTTTGATATTTTTACACACTACCTTTTACTTCTTTTATAAAACTGTAGTGACGACCTTTAAGTCAACCTGATGGTAAGTGGCTACTGCAGTCTATGGATAGGACCTGCAGCCGACCCCAAACAAAGAAGATCACAGGTTTCTTGCTGGTTCTTCCCAGGACAGAGGGTTTTTTTCGAACCAGTGGTAAAGTAAAAAATTACTTTCAATAAGAATTACACATGTAATGTATATTGAATAAAAAATATTCTATTCTATTCTATTCTATTCTGTTCATCCACTGTTGACTATGAATTCCAGTGTAAAAGTCGCATTTCAAAATTAGAAAGTGTTTTACATAACATAACATAAACACTCACGCCCGTCACCCAGAGGGGTAGGCAGAGATTATGGACTTCCATTTGGCACGATCCTGACACACCTCTCTCGCTTCCTCCACATCCATATACCTACGCATACACGCTCATCGGTTAAAGGTACTCTTGATATGGCCTATTTTTAATATATCGCCAATTTGGTCGATAAACTTTCGCCTAGGGCGACCCTTCCCGACTATGCCGTTCACCGAAGAAAGTGTTTTATCGTTTTCTTTTTATCATTCCCAACAAGACGAAAAAGTTTGCAGCTTGAGCACAGCTGGGTGCGTTTAAAAATTTTAGGATTGAAATTCGTTGTTGATGTCAGTTCTCCAAACTGATATGATACTGGGCTTCTTCTTCAATGTAAAAATTACTAAACATCAAATATAAAAGAACATTATAAGTGTTTTCGGATTGGCGATAATGAATCTGCAATACACGAAAAGTCCACAGATACCTTTTATATTTATTAAGCAATAAAAAGTAATTTTCATGTGTGTCACAAAATTCGACAAATTAATATTTAGAGAACCAATAAATTTACAATCATCTTACTTGTACAATAGCCAAATGAGTATTGTTGGAAGCCACTTAAAATTGCTACACGAAACATTTTTGATAACAACAGTACTTAAAACAAAACACTTTATTGAGTATTGCTTTGCCATAATATGAAATACACGCGTGTTTTATCTTTTTCAAAACACGTAAAGGCACTTTGAATATTTATTAAAATTAACAAACTAAATAAAAAAATATCAATTTTAAATAATTAATGGGAGATGACAATTGATGCATGATTATTTTAATTACGTAGCAATTAATTGCTTTATGAAAATAATTTAGCCTTTGAATATAATACGTCCCTTGGTTCAAACCCTTTTTGAATACTCAATAAAGTATTTTGTCACAGTGAAACAAAGCTATGTCTTCAGAAGTAAAATAATAGATATTTTTAACTCAACAAATAAAAACAGATGGCAAATTATGAAAGTTAAATTATAAAAGTACAATACTTATCATAACATTAGTTTCATTCGTATTTTACTTCAATAAGTCTTTCTAAATATTCATTCATTTTCCTACATTACATTTCAAATGTCATTGAAGTATGAAATACAATCGCAATTCATGAGTTCATTCTTCATTTCATTTTTCACTCATATTTGTTTATTCATTTTATTATATTTTCTTAGTATAACAATATCTATAAATTGTGTGTATAAGTTCGTAATTATTAAATTCGAATATTTTAACATATGTATATTAATAAACAGGTTTTATTTCAATAAATCACAAAAACAATCTTTAAAACGATACATAATATTGAAATATAAATGCAATATTTGTGGCATAATAATAAATAATTACAATATCTACAGATTGTTAATATATATGTTTAATAATCTCAAGATTTACTGTAAATAATTAAAACTAACGAGCCTTATTTGCAACCATGAAAAAATTCTGCGGAGTAAATTATGTTCCTCATTAATGATATGTCCACTCGCAATCATTATCATAAAACAAATTTAAGTAAGCTAAAAGTATTCCACATTACACATTGTAATGCGGCAGTGGGTAATCTGTGTCGCATTATAACTATCAAGGTCTGTATTATTATAGCTATCATTTCATCCTGGACTCTACATCGTTAGAATGATAAATTAGTTATGTGTAGCATTTAAAGTTTAAACGAACCTTCTTCTTAACTGAACTAATCTTGAATGTTTTTGGATTGTTACAAGCTTCTTTAATTAATGTTTTAATTTTCTAACTAATTTCATTATTATATGGGATGGATACAAAATATTGTGTTATAATCATAATGAATCAATGAAAAAAACTGAAGTTAAGTTTTTGAATGACACTAGTTTTTACAAAAAGGATTAGCGATCCGGATAGTTAAATTTTGTTAATAAATATAAATATGTAAGAGTATTATTGTATTTAGATATTTATTTATATAATTAAATTAAATTAACACACAAAATTTTGCATTGGTTAAATTTTTCAATACAATACATAATTTTTTCATGGTTTCAAACATCAGCGTAAATTTATTTCTATATAAAACAAATATTAATTGTAAATATCATCCGGTTACGTATTAAACACAATCTAGGATACATGTTATATCATTCGCCTAACCTATGATAGAACTTTCGAATTTGATCACGAAGAGAAATTATCAAAACTACCTAGTGTACCTTTTTCATAGGGTAAGTGCATTTTGAACTATAGATTAGTGAATTTGCGTCGCCAATGTGAAATGAAACGCATGTTCATTAATATCTAACTACTTTTTCGATATATTTATTCAGTATATATAAGTTAACAGTGAGTATTTAACAAGCACAGGTATAAAGGATACCTAATTTGGCACAGGAGTCCATATTATCGTATCTTAAAAGTCAAGCTTACTCATATTAGTTAAAACGTAGTATAAAATAAAAAGTTTCGAAAAAAAAAAAAACTAATATTCCAATTATTTGAGAAATAAGTACAAGTAGCGTCAAACTACTTCTATTGTAAATTTCGAAGACCACACTCATGTCTAAAAAATTATGTGCCCTGGATTTTTTTACTTTAATTTCGTAACTGAATCGATATCTGAAATAATTGTATTATTGATTCTTGAACTGTACTAATATTGATGCGAAACATGAAACCAAAAAGTCCGTTACATTATAGTATTATGTATAATGAGATTAAACAATAATGTGTTAATAACGTTAGCGCCTTTAAAATTTTAAACAAAAATAAAGTTAAAAATTTTACGTTTTAATTACGAACTATATTGAAGTAACTAATGTAATGTAACCTTCGTTACATTTGATTTGCTATTGATATTGTCATTATTTGTAATTATAATATCGACTTACATAAGGAGATTCATTGTAGGTCTAATATAAAGAAAACTTACTGTCTATGACAATTATTTTATGTGTGATCAATAATAATGTTATTTCCGAGCAGACTTGAAACTACGTAGGGTACTATGCAATATATGTCACAACATTTATGTCTGTCCGATAATATCATTTTGACTACACATGTATTTTCTTTGACTCCGCATGCATGTATTAATGATCCGATTCCATTAAAAAAAAAAAACAACAAATAATTTAAACACAGTAGCTATAAACCTTTCAAGAGCAGCGCACAGTCTTATTTGATTCGGTAATGGGTATATATATCAAAGTGGATATAAAAATAAATTTTGAATTTTCTTTGGTGAGATTGGATTTCAATGTTTAATAAAAAAAAATCATTAATTTTATTTCTATGGCCATAAAGTGTGAAAACAACTCAAGTGGTGTTCAAAAATAAGTTATTATGACCTTATTGTTGACAAAATATAAACATAAATTTAGTGGCCTTTTCAAAAAATGTTTGAATAATCGACTGCATAAAAGGGGAAAAATATTCCGACATTTATGGTAAAAGGTAATTCAGGGAATATTATATGTTAAGCATTATATGAAAAGTTAATGCTTATAGAACAATTCCTATATTATAGTCGATAATAATAAGTATTGACAAGGCAAAGCAACAGTTAACTTTCTGACTAAAGTTGTCACTCTCTGGGAACTAACAGAACTAACACTTGCAATAAGTTTAAGAGATGTGCAATAACTTGAAATTATACTACATTGAAACTTATATTATCAATAATTTGTAGCTCAGACAAAAGATGTATAATTTATTTTATAAAAATTACATCAGAATAATCATAATCATGACCAGTAACGAATTAAAATAAAATAATTTAATGAAACTATGCACGTATATAGGGTGTTGGGAATTTGAAAGTTAATGTAAAATTGAGATATTGTAGAAGTTATTAGGATGAGGGGAGGCCACGATATGAGTGTAATTTTAGGGTGGTTAGTGGCGATGGTCCGGGGCGAGCGACTTGCGGCTGGCCGAGAGGTGGTGGGCGCGCGGCGCGGGGCGCTGCGAGCGCGGCAGCGTGGTGGGCGCGGACGGCGCGGACGGCGCGGCGGCCGAGCCGGCGCCCGCGCCCGCCTCGCTCATCATGTCGCGCGGTTTCCACACGGGCGATCCTACAACACACCAAACACCAAACTCTTTCACAAACAACTTTTACGTCAGCTCCCGTTCCGATGTTGAATTTTGCAAGAATAATCGCACCGATTGCCAAGTTATCGCGGTGTCGCGTTAAAAAGAGTTGAATGTTTGATGAATGTTGTCGTAGGTTCGTCGCCCCGTTTGCAAACGTATGAGCGTTCGCCCGATTTAGTTGTGTTATAATTAAATTATGATATACGGAGTTATTTGATGGCGGTTAAGAAGTTTTATTTTTCCGGCGGTCAACATTGTCATCGAACATTCAAAAGAAATTAGAAGTCTCGACGGATTAGTGTGAGGTGATAGAAGCATATTTTTGGGTTTCTTTGCTTTAACATTCACTACTGTAATTATTTATTTATTTATATCTAGGGTGTACCAATAGTATTTAAAGTCTTATTCTGGACTCGTAGCCCGTACTAGTGCATGATCTCTAGGCTATTCAAAATAAATACTGTGCATAGCTAGGAAAGCACAATGTGACAGGGTGAATTTATTTTTTCCTACTTTGAATTTTAATACTAATTAATTATAGAGAGTGTATATATTTTTAAGGACTAGCCTATTTTAAGATTTTGTATTTTAACATGTATAACTACAATTTTAATTAATTTATTACTTCCTTCAAGCGGTTAGGCGCTTCGTGGAAAACTAACTACAGGTATATTGATTTAAACATGCATATAGAATAATAATAAGATGCTTTTTTATTTAATGATACGAGTTGTAATATATCTAATATGTAATTAAATTACAAACGTAATAAATTAAATAAATTGCTTTAAATATTAATACAGAGTAGAATAACGCGGCATTCATTTTCTAAAATATATTGTCAACTTAATCATAGCTTAAGCAGGTACCGAAGAAAAGGTTACAAAAATAAATAAGAAAATTATGTATAGCTTTAATAAATAGATTCATCGAAATGGAAGACTTAATTAATGGTACAAAACCATGACCGCCTACACTTTATTAACCTATTGGAATGTATAGTAACAGTCGAAATAAAATTAATAAAAGAGAAAATTTGACAAAAGTGGTTAATGATTAACATCAGTACGATTCCACAGCCATTAAAATGTAACACTTAGCACTTGGAGTTTTCTAGGATTATAATTGTGATTACATTTAATTATTCCTATTATTTTTCTCGTTTTCCTAATATTCGTAACTCATATAACTCTACACATTTTTTCTTACATTTACGAAGAACTTTAAAATTCTTCATTGGTGTATAATACGTGAGTGGGAGAACATGTTTAATTATTTTTAATAGGTACTTATTTACGTATAAGTAAATTGATCTTCATCCATTGTCTCGCAAAGTTCCTATTAGTACGTGAACTTTGTATTTTTTTTAAATATTTCGTTATAGTATTCAAATATTTGAAATGGATATATGAAACAAACATTAATTTGTGGTTAAGTAATTGTGTATTACATGACAAAGTGTTGAATGGGCTACTTAAATATTACTTAGTTCTTTTTTTTTTCAATTCCTTTTATATTAATTAACAACGATAAACATCTATATTATCGCACCGTTAGATAAACATTGAGAATATTATTGAAAAGTGTATAGTACACATACGTAAACCTATAGATAATTAATATGTGTATTACTTATTATTTGTGAGGGTATTGATTATATGTATGTTATAAGAGACAGTAAGTTAGACATGTATTTGATCAAATTCATGACTATCGGAAGAACGTTTGTTGGAAGGACAAATTCCGCGCTCGTGACCCGTTCCGTCTATAGTTTCTACACTGCTGCGATCTGATGTTACAAGTATAGACTGTGACGCTAGAGATTTTCTACGGGACTTTGGGAACTTGCCCTTCCCCTTATGCTAGGATGTTTTATTTTGCCTTTTTCCAGAAAGGTAACACTGAACACAGGTAGGCTGTTCAATAGCTTTAGCAATTGATTCAGTTGACTTCGAAACAACAATACCCATTTTTATAGCTTTATCTTCAACTTTAGCCAACTGAGAGTAATGCGATACTCTATCAAGAGAATTTGTACCGAGTCCTACTAGTTTGTCACCACTTGATCTGGAAGAACGACGGCTAACATTTGGCGACTTGCACGGTGATCTATCGAAACTGGCTTGTGGAGTTCGCATTATGCCTTTCTTCGGAGCTGGTTTTGGTGATTTTGCTCTGTCAATGCTACTTTCCCGTGATTTCATTATGCTACCGCGTGGCGACCTTGAGCCGTCAAAACTTTGTTGCGGAGAACGAGATTTGTCAATCGAATCCCTTGGAGATTTAGATTGATCAAAACTGCCCCTTGGAGATTTTTGTAGTGTTTTAGTTTGTTTCAGACTGGATTTATTTGGGGATTTGCATATTATGACCTTTGTTACGCGGTCTCTATCTGGAGACGGATCCATAGATCGATTAGGGGATCTGTCTTGGTGAATACTGCTGCCACTTCCTGATCGAATAACTTTTATCTTTTTTTCCGAAGAATACGCTGATTTTTTGCGCTCAGGTGATGATTTCAGGGAATGTGACTCCAGCTTACCTAATTCTTTCACCATAGTGGGCTGGTACTGAGTTGGTTGGTGTGATGACTGAATTAATCTTGCCTGACTTCCTGTGCTACCAGCGCTTAAAGTTGAAGTTGTGCTGAAAAGTACATACACAAATATAAAAAAATGCATAAAAAATGTATAATACAAATATAAAAAGTAATGACATATGTATGAGTAGGAACATATAACCTACATTAATTTAGAAAAGAGAATATTAAAAATAAACAAATGAAGTGAGTGTGAAGAGTTCGTTCCAATTCACAGTTGTGTAGGTGCAGTGTATTTGTCATTTGTGATGTTAAACCCATACATATGTTGATACCTTAGCGTGAGGTGGTTAGGAGTTCTGCCTAACCCTCTCTTGGCAGGCGGCTGCGGTGGTTCCTCTTCGCCTTCCGATTTAGACCCTGGGTCAGACTTATCAGTGTCTGTTGGTGGCGGAGCTGGTGGCAATGCTCTCTTGCTGCTGCTATCTGCATGGACAAATAATAAGAAATATAAATCATACTATTATTATAATTTATTTAATTCCAGTTAAAAAGTTAAGACAAAGATTAGTAAATGACTGAAACCAACAAAAAAAAAAAAAAAGGTTCTAACCGGACGAGTCACCAACTGTTTTGCTTCGTGATCTGAAGGTAGGCTCGTCAGAAGATACATCTTGTGGGGGTTCCTCGGCGTCTTGAGAATTCTCTCGCGATAAGTCACCAACCTAAACCAATAATATTGCAATGCAAGTTTACTGTTATCCAATTACACTATATCAAAAAAATTAAGAATGTCTAAGCATACTTCAATATTTCCGGCTGATAAACGCTGTCCAGTAGTCTTAGGTTTCTTTGTTTTTCCAAGAGTTTGTGAGCCTTGCATGACGTGCACCTGTAATAATATGGCACCTCAAACATATTGCATTTTATTTTTGTTTAAGTCTATGTATAAATTAAGGTTTCATGAACGTTGGGAATTTAAATGCAGTAAAAATACGTTTATAAGTATTTAACAATTATATAAATGCAGTCATATCCTAGATACAGCTCGATGAAATGACAACCAATGGCGAAGAAAGGTCGGCGTAGCGCAGCTACTCACTGGATTGAATAACGACGTGGTAAGATATTAGGTCAACAACTTCAAGCTCAGTGCTACCAATAACTACAGTCATATGTGGGACATGGACGTTATACATGACCTTTGTTTTGTCCATGTCCATCTTAAGACCTATCCGTTGGGAGGTACTATTGAGGTCATTGAGTATAGTGCTTAGGTCATCCAGCGATTTTGCCATAGGGGCTATATCGTCGGCAAATCAAAGTTGAGTGATGTCCATGTTCCAATCCAGTAGCTTGAAAACGTCTTCCAATGCAGCGGTGAAGAGTTTCGGGGATATAACGTCACCCTGTCTTACGCCTCTCTGCAGTTGGATAGGTTTCGTACTCTGGTTCTGTACTCAGATAGCCATCGTAGCCCTACTGTACAAACGCCTCAGAACTTCGATATACGACAGTCCACTTGGCACCTCTGAAGGGGTTGCAGCATCGCATTTTTTTGAAATTCTCATGAGAAAGCTAATTTTTTTTGAGCATATCAAAATATATGAAACGGAATAAAAGCTCAATATTATTCGAAGAAAAAAATTAAAAATTTTATTTGACAAACGTCAACGTGTTTTTAATCAATGTGCATTTCAATTTTAGCTGAAGTTACTCCTTGTGACATCAGCTATCTGCTAGTGAAAATCCTGTCAAAATCGGTCCAGCCGTTTCGGAGATTAGCCGAAACAAACAGACAGACAGACAGACAGACAGACGGATGGACAGACAGATAGACAGACAAAAACTTTAAAAATTGTATTTTTGTTATTAGTACCGTATATACTTTCATATGCATTTAGTAAAAAGCTGTAATTTTGACATTACAAACAGACACTTCAATTTTATCTATTTGTATAGATGTCAATAAAAAGAGATAGTTGGACTGCGTTATGAAAGAACCGATTAATTGCCACTTAACGAAACCTGAGAAAGTGAGCTTCAAAAATTTCAATGGTTCAATTGTCGCTGTGTATACATTTAATATGTTTAAACATAATTTTTATTCTGTAGATACAAAATGTGTATAAGTTCACATTAGTTAAAAAAAATATAAGGCTATATAATACATATTATTCATATCCAGACCATTTCATTCATCAATAACGTGCTATACGGCATTATTGCCGTTTGATACTTTATTGCAATTTGTTTTGGTTTTGGGTGAAATAAATTGGACTATAAGATTAAATCCAGTTATTTTAATAAAATGTACTTAATAAAAACAAAATATGTTGTATATAACACTTCTACATCTCACTAATAATTTTTTATTTTATTCATTACCTACCACTGTACCATATTTTTTATTATTCTTCCAATTCTACTTCAAATTCAATGGATCCATCAAAACCTTCAACATCATCTTCTAAATCACGAGATCCAGTTAAATTTTCGTAATATTTTATGGCATCATATGGAATGACGTGAAGGAGGGATTTTATATCATCTAGCTTTGCTTGAGAAATAGGTTTTCCTTGTGGCCAAAGTGGCTCATAATGCCTTGATAATGTCGATGGGTTATTTATTCTTCTTATCAACTCTTTTTAGACTTTTGAGATCTACTTCATAGGTTTCACCGCCATGAAAGGTTGAAAGAAATATCCGACCAGGTCTATTCTTAAAAATGTTTATTTCTTTAGTTTTCAACCAGCTTATAGCATTTCCTTCTATATATTTTTCTGTATTTAATATAGTCTTTACCATTAGGTGACGCTGCGGTTTTAAAACAGTTGAATCAAAAGGCAAAACTGAATTATTTTCATCGTGTACGTGATTAATTCGTTTATGCAATTTGAAAACCGTTTGTAACCGTAACTTTGACTCATAATTCTTTAATAGAAATAAAAGAATTATGCGTCAAGCATAATTCTTTAATACAAAACGAATGTGTGCACAAATTCTAACAAAGTTCGAAATGTCACTTAATTCAACTCCCTATTACAAGGACGTAAGAGTGGTGTTTAAATACAAAAATAGCTGAATACATAGTTTATCATACCTATAGTCGATCTGCATTCAAAACTTTTTTTTTGATTTCGTCGCTTAATTCATTCGTACATAACGCAGTCCAATTATTACCTCTTTTATAGAATAGTATAACAAACAAATACACAGTTCATCTGATGGTAGGTGGATGCTGTGGCCCATTGAAGTCCGTATTTATCCTCATTAAAAATCAAGTCTCAATAAGCCTCGTTTCCAGTAAAAAGGGTCTACGGTTCTACGGGTATACATTCATTTTACGAAACACAGCAGCATTAAGCTGCTATTTTACGCTGGTATTCTGTGAGAGCGTGGACTCCGGTGGAGCTGACTGCTACAACTATAATAATATAGCATATAATATATATGGTATATCTACTAAGTAAGGGTTGCCGTGAGTAAAAATTTGTACCGAATCGTACCAATAAGCAAGTTGTAAGTAAAAATTATAAAGTTAGGTACCTGATGTTTGGAGCGATCTCGGTCTAGAGTGTGCGGGGCGCGGGGAGGCGCCGGCGCGGGCCGCGTGCTCGGCAGCGACATGTTGCGCACCGACTCGCGGATGATCTGCCGAATTGTCTTCAGGAAAGCGTTGCGGAAGTCTGCAGTGCTGCAATGTAAAAATTAAACGCAACACTTAAAATGCGCAGTATTTTATTCCTTCGAGTTGCGATGACAATCTTCTGCTATATCGATTACGGCACTTCTCAATATATAATACAATACTGTAAAAAATTATCAAGGGCACAGGAAAGTACTCCAACGATTTTACGATGGCACCACATGAGTAAAGTAACCGACCAGAGGGGAAGCTACATACAAACGGCTCGCTGCGAGTACACCCATACATAGCGCAGCGATGTGTGCGTGAGCTCTCACCGACAGGTTTACCGACGCTCCGTCGTGGTACAAACCGGTTTGCGCCGGCTCAGTCAGAGTGTCCATGAAAGGGCTGTTAGTCGTGCGCATTTAAATAAATAGACCAAAAATATTTCGATATTTTATACATCAATTAATTTATTAAGTATTTTTGCAATTATTAAATACTTAATTAGATTAAACTTTTTTAATAAGAATAATTAAGCATTAAGTTATTATAAATTTATATAGGTAAATAATAAGTTTTCTGTATAAGCAAAAATGCCTAATAGTTGTACAGTATGCATGAATAATTCTAGAGAAAATAAGGATATTTCCTTTTTTTTGTACCCGAGAGATCAAGAGAAGTAAGTACCTTATTACGTATACAATAATACTAGGTAATAACATTGATAGGTAAGTGAGAATGTGTTAGAAAGGTGCGTCGCCGGGTGATGATGTCGGTCTCACTTGAAACGTTAGTAGCTAACTTTGACAGTTCCGTAGATGACAGAATATTCTCCTTAATAAGGCTAAATGTGTGACTTTATCCACCCACATTACTATAGAGATAGGTTGCTTCCTGGGGTAGGATATAAGTTACTTTTTGCGAGTCGCGACCGCAGGGGTAAATACCACTGCATTATGGTTGAAATACAATCGCCAGGGATTGGTGTTGGTGGAATTGGTGCTGGTGTTGGTGGATAGTGTTCGTGGAAGTGGTGCTGGTGTTGGTGTTGGTGGATAGTGTTGCTGATGGTGTCAGTGGTGGTGTCAGTGGTAGTATCGTAGGTAATGGTAGTAGGCAGTGGACCAACAGTGACTTCATCAACACCACCACCATCACCACCATTACTATCACCACCACCGCCACGACCACCATCACAGTCACAACTACCACCACCACCACCACTTACACCAAAACTCTTGATTTCGAACAATTAATAAATATGTTGTTACATTAATATAAGTTATAATTAATACACATGATGTCTTATGCTATACAATATTTTTATTTTTTCCTTAAAATTTTCACATGCATCAGGTGACAACCCTATCAGAATAGGTATAGATTTTCGACGTTGTTAGGAAGCTTCCCCTCTGGTCCTCTTTACTCTGTGATGGCACTCCCTCATCCTAAATTACTCATGCCCGTTATAGCATTTATGTAATCAAAACGGAATAAGTGTTGATAGTTTTTCAGAGATAGGAAGGAGACTACCATAAAACAACCAGTCTAGTAAGCCGATGACTTTTGAAAATTTTGCTCTTGGCCGAGATTAAGGTATGTATTTTAGTATAAAATACAATAATTAATAAACGAGCAATTCCGCTTTAAGAACCGATAAACGGCGGGGGAGGAAAGCTTCTTGAGCCTTGTATTGTTCTTTTTTTGAGGTGGCCGTGGACCGTACATTTTTTTATACAATAGGGTGACATACGAGCACACAGTCCACCGGATGGTAAATGGATACTGTGGCCCATAGACATCTACATTTATCTTCAATTAAGAATCAAAATGCAGATGCGCCGTCACCCCTGGAAACTAAGATGGAATGTCTCTTTTCCAGTAAAAAGGGTATCCAGTTCTCAAGACTAGACAGCATTAAGCTGCTATTTTACGCTGGTATTCTGTGAGTGCGTGATCTTACTCCGGTCGAGCCGACCCATTTGTGCTACAACCATAATATAGCTGCAGCGGGGCTCTATCTACCACGTTCAAAACGTCATTGGCTGTTGTATTGTGTGCTCTGCAATTTCTTCAAATATAATAATTGAAATTGGTGTTTATTAAAAAATACAGCTAAAAAAAAGTACTAACGTAGGTGGGGAGTTAATTCTAGCACATTCTGGCTATTAAAAATAAATCGATGAATATTTAATCTAATCGTTTGTGACTTAACAAATTATAATCGTTGTTTTTCAAATCGATTATTTTTTCTTAAGCCTAATACTATTTTACTTGAACCTTACACTAAGCTGTAGGTGTAATACTATTTATTGCAGATACATCCACATACCATCAGGTAGACAGCATACTTTGTCACATTTATGTACTTAAAAAAGAATTTTAAAACTTTATAATTAAAGAATTTGCTTAAGCATTATTTTATATATGTATGGAAAGATTCTTTCATTGGTTAAATTACCTGTTTGACAGTACATAGACTTTTTCCGAGCGACGCTGCAGTTGACTTCGCAGGTGTATTAATTCCCAGAGGAAGTGACTGTCCATGTCTTTAGCCGAAGAAGCACGCACTTGAACCTCTGTCACCGGTATAAGAACTTGATATCTTATTATTTCTACCTCGTTCGAATTGTTCTTCGATGATACACCCTGAAGTAGAAATGCATGTCTTTCCAGTCCGATTATCAAAATATACAAGTATTATTTTGCCAAAATTTGATTAAGAATTTATATCTTATTAATCTAAATGGAAGAGAGAATATATGTTTAGAAGTAGGACGGTATCAGAGGCGACTGAACCTGAGTAAATTGCGGAAATTTGAGTCCCTAAGAATTAATTACACTATATTATAGTATCATTTTTATAGAGACCATCGGTCTGAGGATTTCACGCGTGATGAAATTTCAAAAGGAACTGTATTCACGACTGGTGGACATTGCGGGTAATATTTATAGTCTGTATAATATCGGCAATTTTAGTTTTTGATTATTTATAATTAAACTATTAATATGAATATTTATAAAACTTTAAATGCGGAATGTCCTCTCATTAAAGTACTAGAATAATAAGAATATGTACTGTACAATATGCAATAGCTTACCATTAATTTTTTCTTTTGTCTCAGTCTTTCTTTGCATAGGAAGACCACAGCAGATTTAAATACAAAACACATAGCATGTAATTCTAACCCTTTTTTAATTTTTCCTAAGAAGTCTGAAATATTTAACCACTCTACACCACCGTAGTACAACAAATCACCTGAAAACGATTAAAATACTAAAGTCATGTGTTTTAAAATAGCGATGGTTTTAATAATAGCATGATTACTTACCTGGGCTTAGATCTATAGGTTGCTTGCAAGATTTTTGATGTTGCCTAAATAAGTGATCGAATATAGCACCATATTCTTCATGGATTCGTTGCATTTCATTTATGTGTTCAGCCACCTTTTCCATACCTTTCAACGCCTCTGCAACATGCAATAATAACATAAATATATAATTATTATAAAAATTTTGAATCATTTATTTAAGATCGTATAAGATTATATAAAGCTTCAGTCACACATAGCGATTATTCGCTGCAAGTGTTTTCGCTTCGAATATTACTCGCAGCGACAATTCGCTGCCTGCCTGTCACACACAGCAAGTGCTACACGAGAATTACCTATAATATTTATCTTTTATATTCATCAGTTTTCTTATCAATTGCTCCTGGGTTGCTATTTCGAATCCCAAGTCAATTAATTCGTTAAACAATGAAGACGTCTGCTTTTTGCGTTTTTTTAAATTACTGTTACACCTAACACCCACACCCAAGAAACGAATTATGTCGTAATTTCCCCATTTTAGAGAATCTTTATCGGTTGACTCATTTGATTGACCTACACACACGTATCATGCAGCAACGAAACGACCTTTGCACAGGCGTGTAGTTTGAAGCGGCGCGCTCAGCGGAATGGCTACTCGCTGCGAGTACCTTGTCACACAAAGCGAATTCTCGCAGCGAGTGCTCATTCGCAGCGAGTAAAATTGAATATGCTTAATTCAATTGGCGGCGAATTCAACTCGCGGCGAATGAATCTATTCGCAGCGAATAGCCTGTCACACACAGCGAGTTCTTGCTGCGAGTGCATAATCGCAGCGAGTATTCGCTGTGTGTGATTGAAGCTTTAGTAAGCTACTAAAGTTTGATTACGTCAAGGGTGAAAACGCATAGATGTTAGTATCTATTAGCCCCAACAACCACTCACCAACAGATGGACTGTATGCTTATTAACTCTCACTTATAAAAAATGTATGTAAGCCAAATCAAAAGAATAATAATAAACATTGGTTCAACAGTCGCGTAGATTAATTTGTATCTTACCCACTAAATGGAGGTGTTCTTCGGAATTTACATCAGTTAAATTTCGCAATTGTTGCAGCAGTAATGGATACTTGAGTATGCGCTGAATCGGCTTGATTAAGTATGATTCCAACGTCGATGAATGTTGTTGCTTGGGATTACGCGCCGCTAGGAATTCTTGTAATGCTTGATTGCCTTCATCTGATACATGAATATATTTTATTTTAATACGAGTTAATTTTTTCTTATCTAATGACAACATAAGACTTTGTATTTCCTATGTGTTTAAGCACTGATAAAATATATTTTAAAATTCATAGTAAGCTAGCAAAAGGTGTTCAATCTCCGACGGCACTACTGAAATTGTTATTTACAGCGTTGATGTATACGTCGGCGATGAAGTAGAAAATGGCGGGAAAACTTTTGAAGTCAAGTAAACACTGTCAACACGGTATCATGACGAACTTTTCCATGATATAAAACCTTACACATATAGACTGTTATTTTACAGATGAATTTGAAGATATACTACATATGAATAAGTCATGACTTTTCATTTATTTTAATTTGCTAATAAGAACTGTCCAATAACTTTATAATTAATCTTGTTGAAATTTTAGTGCGTAATTAGTTTTTATAGTAGACATAAATTATTGTCATTGAACATTTCGAATTACGATTTATCTTTAAAAATAATATACTATGCAGTTACTCGTGTGACTTACTTGGATGTAGAACTTTCTGTGCTTTACTGTGACTAGCGCAGAACGAACTGTATAATTTGAAATGGTTGACGTAATAGAGGAAAGCGTTTCCAACAGCAAAGAGTACATTCTGGAATATAATTAGTATGCATTAATTATAATATATGAATATAAATTGTAAGCAATATTAATTAAAATAGTATAGAAGCCTATAAAGATACCTTGAACTGATTTGAAATTTCGAAATGATGAAAGTTCGGCTCAGCTTCTAGGGCTTCCTCAAGATTTTGCAAGAATTGCCTTTGGAAAGTAACGATTTCTTGTATGTTTCCAAACAGAGCATTGATCTCGGCATTTGATAAAAAAGTTTCCTTCTTCAAAGGCTCCAAATAGTTTTCTAATAAATTGTTAAGGTGCTGTAAACAATGGTAAACAATATTTGGAATAAATAAAGTATTGATATCCCAGATCATATTTGGATGAAATAAACGTTTTAATGTGAGTGTCAGTTGTTAAGGCGCGCCGGTGACGCCGTTTTATTGAGTTCGAAATCAATGTTACCTTTTCGGTGGTTGAAAGAACGATCAAATTAATCGTTTTTTTGATTTTTTTTTCATTTAATACATTAACTTTTATAACTTCTTTAAGAAAACAGTGTAATGAAATAATTAAGAGGATATATCCGAGCGGCTTTTAGTCTATACAAACGTATTCCACTGTTTTGTTTCTGGATAATGACTCTACATGGTGTTATAACTGGGAAATTTTAGTGGTATTACAGGTCAATAGTTGTTAAAATAATTTATGCAAAAAATAAAACCTAAGAACATGGCAGTGGTAGATATAGATTGTATCGTAAATAATATTTGCTCTAAGGTCGAAAACAGGGTTAAATATACAGGGAGAAAACAGAGGAATAAGTCTGTATGGACCAATTGAGGCCCGGACTATATTAAGCGCTATAGATATTCAAACCAAATTCAAGTACAAGTAGGGTAAATATATTGAGTATTATCAATTAACGATTTCTTACATTATACATTGAATAAAACTACTTTTACGGATTCTATCGCATTTAATTAAGTAATAAAATATAAGCAAATATAAGAAATCATTATGTAAACCAGTACGGACTGGAAATAGCAAATAAATACGCCGATTAGAAGATCTCAAGACCAAGCGCGCAAGATACGTAACATCTTTAAATTTCTTGAAGAGATACATAGACCATAATCTCATTCCTACGTGTGTCAAGATATCTACTAAAAAGACATTCGTAGAAGCGCTAAGATCTGAAATCAGGTAAGCACAAGTTAATTAAACGCGATAGAATCCGTAAAAGTAGGTTTATTATTAATTAATAACATGCAACATAGAAATAAAAATCCTACACGGAATATAGTAAAGCATTAATGTTTTTTAGGATATTTTATAAACATGTAGTACTTTTACAGGTTGTAAGACTTCTTTTCTGCCTAGAATCCATTTAGATATCACATAGGTACCAAACTCTTGTCTATTTCTGCCGACTGATAGTAGAACTAGCACAACTGTGTGCCGGTCTAAAAGGTGTACTAGAGGGTGTCAACTTCAAACAAAGTAGGTTACAGTTGCGTTGTCACCCCTGGAGAAAAAAATTGGAATGTCTCACATTCTGTAATTAAACTGGCTTCTATATCCTTCATACCGAATCACAGCACTTCTTTTTGGCGGTAGAAATAGGTTATATACCTACTCAGACGGTATATACATATGTATATACCGTCTGAGTTTTAAATATGACGTTCGTTTTAACAGGATCTTTTTTATAGGAGAAGGAGCAAACGAGCATACGGCTCACTTGATGGTAAGTGATTACCGCCGCCCATGAGCAACTGCAACACCAGGTGCGTTGCCGACCTTTTAAAAAGGAGTACACTCTTTTCTTGAAGATCCCTAAGTCGTGTCGGTCCGGAAAAATCTCTGGTGGTAGTCGATTCCACAAAGAAGTTGTGCGAGGAAGAAAACTTCTTTTAAATCGCACAGTGGTGGACCGCCAGTCATCCAGATGGTGTGGATGGTATCTTATAATTGCTTGTATTGGCTTCTTTTCTGACTATGAGTTATTCTCGGTTGGTATCATTCTCTTACTTGTTTCTTCCACCGAGCAATAGTTCACCCATTACTGTGCTCACATTTGAAGGGCAATAGAGTCAGTATGATTACAGGCTATGATAAAATGCTCATCTTAGTTCTTAGGGGTGATTATGTACCTATTTGTGGCCTTCTTCGTTAGTTTGTTTGACACTCTTATATCATAAAAATAAATATTTAAACGGATAATATTTTACGAGCATACCTTGACATAAGCTCGTTCTGTGTCAACGAGTTCCAGGAGCACCTTTCGCAGTTTGTCAGCATCTGATAGATGTCGTGAGGGTGTACCAGCAGCGGCACTAGCGAGGCTACCTGTGGGGCTTCCGCGGCGCGTGTCCGACGGAGACCGGCACCAACCCGTCACTTGTTCTGCGCTCTGGCATTTTAATGTTATTTTGTTATAAATAATCCATTAAGCATGAGTTTTCTATCGTAGCAAATTCATATCGCTATCGAGCAATTTATTTTGAGAAAATATTTACGTCCATGAGGGGCGCTATTCATATTGACATACGATTTTAGTCGATGGTGAAAAGAAACCGTAAGTGTTAATAACTTGTGCTAAGAGCAGTACTAGCGACAGTCGTATTAATAATGCTAACGGTTTACTTTACTAACGTTATTTAGTCCGATTCAAATACGTAGACTACTGATGTTTAATCTAATGCATAACTTCTAATTAATTTTTTACTAAAAAATAGTTTTCCGTACGCCAACAGACGTAGTGGTGATGGCTTATTGATTTACCTTAGGTATATAATTGCAGAAAGCATACTATAGTGCCTTTTTGTGTTCGTGTGAATACAGTTCTTATTATTTTGGTAACCAACGGGCTATTCACGCTATATTTATGAGCTGGAGAAGTGGTACAGACTGTTGCGTTTACTAAAATACCGAGGTAGTCATAGTAAAAACCAAAAATAAATTCGATGAATGGCTTGTTAAGAAGGACAACTAAGTGCTATATAGTTAAATCAGGAAATTTTATAGCATGACAAAAACAGCTTTTGACCCTTCAGAAGATGTCAGATTCAGCTTTCTATATAAGCGGAAAAAATATAGATTTGATCGAAGATAGGAAGTTATGTTAATCAAAATGCAAGGCAATTATTAATAATTTATACAATGAATAAGGCATCAGCAGTGTTTAACACACGAGACCCTCGAAATTCATCTACCTAAACCTAACGTACTTATTCACGACTGCTATCTGCTCAAAAATTATATAGTACATTTTCGGCAACAACTTTCAATCATGTTTTTTTTATTTCATTATCTACTTATATTGCATAGAATACCTACGCTTGTGTCAACAGTCATAATTATTTATATTTCTAAAAAAAATTGTATATTTCTATATACAATTTTTTTTAGAAATTTAATAATTTATTTAGCAATTTGTACACTTTATTTGGTAGGTATCCTTTTTTTCCTTAGACAGTTACTTATTTCTATTGCTAAACAACAGTGGATCCACTGTTTGTAATTATCTGGAGTAGGACTAGTGTAATCGAAGCTTATATAAATAATATTTAAAAGCTACCTTATGTTAATATAATATTATAAAAGGCACTTGGCTATGCTAAAAATTACCTCTGTGTGATGTGGGAAAGGGTCGCTACAAATTTTAAAAATGATAACACTTTGAACGAGCTTCATCCAGGATGATTGAATCTAAAGATACGTTCTGCAATAACATTCGTATACTCGTATTTTTGAAGAAGAGCGAGGGTTGCGCAAACAAAAAACGTATATTCAATGTATTAGTAAGTAGTAGCTTCTTTTCTTAAACTTTTTATTTTAAGTTTTTAAAGTCTATAATTTGATTGGCTAAATTGCGAAGTGGATGATGAGTGGAATACATCCGGTGAATTTATGAAAGATTACTTTTATATTTATCTGGAGCTTATGGGGCTTTATTTTTAATTTTCTTATTTTCTAGGCCCTGATCGACGGGCGAGCTTTACTGTGGCTTCCCGGTAAAGTTCGTTGGTGGATCACCGCATAATCGTGGATTTGTAAGCCGACGAATCAGGCACGCTGCTACGCCACAAAAAAACCGTGCATCGATTATCGAACGGTGAAACGACCTGACTGCTTTGGCGAAGCTGTTTTACATATTATATTTGAACTTATACCAAAGAGTTTTTGGTGAAAATCTGTGGCTATCGAAAATTTCTACAATAGAATATAAGAATAATAATTTTAAGCTGCCAGCTCAGCACAAATTGTAGATGGTATCAAGAAAATAGTATTACGAGTAAATCCGACTAGCTTTTTAGGCATTATCGTTGATAAAGATTTAAACTGGAAAGATCATATTATGAAATTATCTGGACAATTTCGTTTTTTTCCTTCGGACGATCAATAATATATAGTATTATCTTGAATATTGATGGGTGGCAGCGGCTTTGCCCTACGTTCAGCCAGGACCTGTCGCTGCGAGCATGGCCGTGGGCTTACTTAAAGGGTTGAGCGCACGCCGCGGGGGCTGGACTTTTAGCCGGAGTAGTGGTGGGTGACAAGGAGGCCGGGTTAGACTCGGCTGCCTTTACGATGACTACGCGTTTGCGCTTTTTGCCCTGGACGAGTGTAAAGCCTTCGTGTTTCGGTTTTAAGCGGGACACGCGTGTTTTTCTCTATATAGTGTTAGGCTGGTGCAACAAACAATTTATTATTTATTATTAGTTATTATATTTAATAACTAATAATAAATAATAAATTGTTTATTTACTTCACAAGGTATTTTAACATAAATAAGTGGCTAGAGCCTCCCTTTAAGCACAGAGCGCCTGTAGTAGGAGGCTCCGCTCTTCCACAACTTCACAAACAATCTATAACAAAGATTTATAACTTATTATTTCCTTTTATGGGTATGTATTATCAATTTAAAGATAAGGGCTAATTATTTGTGTAAATTCCATCTGAGCAGAGTAAATATATTGTACTTTATACAGTAAAAGTTGTTTTTGCATGACATATAATAAAAATTTGAAATATTAAGTAATTTAAAATATTTTTATTTGCTCCCAAATATAGTATAGAATATTAAAGGATCTCCGGTTCTCTACACTCGCCATATGAAACACAGCAGCAATAAGCTGCTATTTATCTCTGGTACTATGTGAGAGCGTGGTCCTTCTCCGGTCGAACGGACCATTCGTGCTACAATCAAAACATTAGTGGAGCGTGGCTCTACTAAGTTAGAAAGTCCTCTGTTGGAGAAGTCTATGTTTAGCTGTGGATTTTTTAAAGGCTATAATGTATAATGATGAAATATTAATAAATAAAACTTTTCATAGCAACAATACAACAATGCAAATATGATAAATTACCTTTAGAAGGTTTTCGATCTCGAAAGAGTTAGTCCTGGAACTAACTTTTGGAGGACCAGTATTCGCAGCGTCACCGCCATGTGCATCAGTTTCGGGACTGTACAGTTCTTTACCTGTAAAATAATCGTTTTAAGTTATAACTCAAATGCGTTCCACTGCTGAGCACAGTCCTACTCTTATATAAATAAATATATAAATACCTGTTTACGCAAAATTATAGAGTGGCTTAATAATAATAATTTAAAAATAAATTTAAATAAAACAAAAGTTATGCACTTCCATCAACGCCGTGAAAACCCAAACATTAACATTTCCTACCAAGGCTTTAATATTGAAGAAGCAAATATGGCGAAGTTTTTAGGTATAGTGATTGATAATCATCTCACTTGGAAGCCTCATGTTGAGGATCTATGCAAACGACTCAGCAAATCCGCATATGCGCTTTCTCAACTTTCAAAAAAGGTTAACAGCCAGGCTCTTTTGATAGCATACCATGGACTAGTTGCTTCCGCTTTACGATATGGCATCATTTTCTGGGGACAGTCTTCTGATAGGGAGCTTGTATTTAGGATGCAAAAACGATGTGTAAGATCAATGTGTGGTCTCAAAGTAACCGATAGCTGTTTTCCTTATTTTAAATACTTAAAAATCCTAACACTGCTTTCATTGTATATACTGGAAACAGCTATTTTTGTAAAAAAGCATCCATTTCTTTTCCAAAAAATATCTGATATTAGAAAGAATCCAATACGTACCCACTACATAAATAGGTTATGTTACATAAAATATAAAACATCATTAATGAAAAAAAGCTTCTTTGGTATTGCCCCACAAATTTATAATAAACTACCTGATTCAATAAAAAATATGACCTTATTTAAATTTAAAAAGGTGCTAAATGACTTATTAATAAACAAATGTTACTATAAAATTGATGAGTTCTTGAATGACAATTTTGACTAGTAATTTTTATTGAATATTATCATTTTTTGTTATTGTAATCAATTTAATTTTATAAATGTAGAATTTTCATTAGTATGCCAATTTCAATTATTTCTATTCTATTTTATCTTATGGCATGATATTTCAAAAGAACACTCAATTATATTTGTATGTTTTTAAGACAAAACATTTATTGTATTTGCACACCTCATAAGGTAATAATACAATGTACATATTATAATTTTCTGTAACACCTTATATACCTGTATTATGCAAATAAATGAATATGAATATGAATATGAATATATCTGAGTGGTTTTTAGGGCAAGGAAATGTACGTCGCGCTGCCCCAATGCGGACTCAACATATCTTCAAAATCTTTAAGTATAAAAATTACGTGCCACCTTGTTTGACACACACACACAACTCCTAAACTACTGAGTGAACTCCTAAACTAGTGATCTGATTTCAATGAAATTTGGCACATTGTTTGCAGTTTAGTGTATCTTGAGAGAGGAAAGTTTTTATACCGATAAGGGACCTTTAACTATTTTTTTGTGAATTTAAGGATGTTTTTATAGAACAAACGATCGTCGGGACAGGCAAAACAACGTCTGCCTGGCCATTTAGTATAATATTATTTTTTAATTACTCAGATATGCAGGTTTCTTAACGATGTCTTTTTTTACCAACGAGCATATGGTTAATCAGTACTTAAAATTGCAATTAACAATTTCAATGGTGCCATTAGGAATCGAACCCCTCTAAGCGAGAGCTTAGACCCTGAGCTACCATGGCTGGCCTCGTATATGAAAATTATTTTTAGTGAGTTCTAATTATTGTTACTAACCGACGATTTCAGAAGGAGAGTAAAGGTTTCGAGTGTATGCACTTGTAGACCTTTTGCAGCATAAACGGCTTGACGAATATTGAAGTGCGAGATTTGTGTTTATTTCTGGAGTGTCATATATACCTACCTATATAAAAAATTATATATAATATGCTAATCATGTACAAGGGCGTTCTCCATAGTAGGAGAGAATTTGTACATAATCTGGCTGTATAATTTTATGTTTACAAATTAATCTCACTGGGTTTCTTGTTAGTTCTTCTCAGGACAGACGTATTTACGTCTTACTCCTGGGCATACCTATACACGTCTCACTCCTGGGCATAGGCTTCAAATATCTTTGACTTTTTTTTATTTCTTCGACATGCAGATTTACTCACGATGTTTTCCTTCATCAGCACGCATGTGTTATATAAGCACTTAAACCTGCTGTTAACAATTTAGTTGGTGCTGGCGGGTATTGAATCCTTGTTGCTCACATACTGTGATATTTAAGGCGAGCGCTAAGCCTTTGAGCTATCGCAGCTCTCCCAATAAGTATTGCAGTAAGTATTTTAAAATATAATAATGTATATTGAATGAAAACTATTCTATTCTTTTCTGTTGATTTACCGCCAAGTTTGACGGGCGGATTGGCGATCGCAGTTTTAGAAGTGACCTTTGACGGTGCTCCCATTAGTCGGTTATCTAAAACTTCATGTATTTTTTTAAATTAAAACTGAAGTGATAAACGAACTTACAGCTATGTTGATGGTGAGTTCCCCAGTCCATGGAAAGATACTACGATGGAATGTCTCAGAGACTGCAATTATACTAGTTCTTTATATTTTTCATATTGGAAAACAACGGTGCACGAACTAGAAATAGGTGAGAGGGTGACTTACCCAGCCAGATTTCTAAGCAGAACATAAATCTTTTCTCGTAAAAAACATTCCCCGAAGTCACTTCTTATGACTCTCACCCAGTGGACGATATGGAATGATGGGCTTCTCATACCACCACATTCAAATTTCCGATGTAACGCCTATGAAACACCGTGCGCTTCACCTCGAAGCCTTATAAGAATAAATCAACCCATTTCAACTTTAGGTGTTTTAATAATCCACACATGGCTGAAGAGCTTAAATATGTCAGACATAAATCTGGGTGAAGCGCGTGAAATGTGTGACATCTGGCACTGTGATTAGCAATCTACCTACTAGTATAAAATTTTTATCAAATGTAAAAAGTACATTATTTTATTAGCCTACTTAAATAAAGTTTGACCGTATGCTCTTTTAGTGTATGTCTGTCTACGTGGTAAAATTGTCAATTGTGAATCGGTTTCAATAGTTCTTTTTTATTAAATAGTTTATACTTCAAATATGGTCCCTTATAAATTTGATGAAATAATTCCATCCCTAAATCTGGGTAAATAGGTGATGAAGTTTTTGTAACTGTTGAATAAAAGGGTAAAATTATCTTTTAATAAAAGGTAAAAGTAATCTTCAAAGAGCATAAAAATAATAAAATAATTTCCACATTACAGTTTCTGTAATCGGAGATTTAATTCTTATAAACATTTCTTCTTAGGAGCGACTTATGAAGCTGCTACAAGGAAACATTTTTTTTTATTCTTTGAAGTTAGCTTTTTCTTTTTAATAAAAGTTATTTTTTAATAGAGTTTTTGTTCCATTAATTAACGTAAAAAGTTTAGATTCTAAAACAAAAAAGTTGGTCGACACGGGACGCCCGGCAGATGTGAAAAATCATAATTGATTATAGAAGTTATAATTAATGAAAACAAATAAAGAAACATAGAGTAAAATAAATGACGTAACTCGTTATTGACGCAACTTGTGTATGTGTGTCACAAAATGAGATGTCACTTTCAGATTTCGTCTAAAGCAGAGTGATGCAGCTTTGTACGAAAGCTGAGAAATTTGCACACAAACATGATTTTGTCAATGTTTGTGTTGGGCTTGTCAAATTAAAGCAAGAAAAAAATATCCAAAATTATATATAATATGCTAATCCTGTACAAGGGCATTCTTCATAGTAGGAGAGAATTTGTACATAATATGGCTGTATAATTTTATGTTTACAAATTAATCTCACTGGGTTTCTTGTTAGTTCTTCTCAGGACAGACGTATTTACGTCTTACTCCTGGGCATACCTATACACGTCTCACTCCTGGGCATAGGCTTCAAATATCTTTAACTTTTTTTTGAAATTATCCTAAATTGAATGTGAATTATAGGCAAAGACTACGCGTACGCGCGCTCCTCTGTGTGCGATTCAATTTACTACGTTTTTGCCAACCGAGCGATCCTTATAAATATGTGCATGCGTAGGAAAAGAGTAGGCATTAGATATTTATGAATGACAATCATTTAAAATAATGCATTACCACAAACTCTGAATTTAAAAGATAAAAAAGACAGAATCTTTCAGATTTTTTTTTAATTAACTTTTCTTCACCACTCTCCTATATTACTTATTTTGAAGCTTCTCTGCGAATTTGGGTAATCCTTACAAAAAGTTTTCGTTTGAGGAATAGTGTCAGTAAAATTAAATTATTTAAATCATGTAAAAAGTTATGGATTTTGTATTTATAAAATGGCAGAATTATGTCATTCAAACGTTTAATAAAAGCAGAAACTAGAAGTAAGTAAAAGTAGAAACTCATTGGTTGCAGGGAAAATTACATATTTCATGTCGAGGCAGCTTTATGACACGAAGTGACACAATGTGCTTTTTTGGTCGAGGTAAGTCAACAGCCGGCGCAAGCAAATAGCCTACAGAAAGGGTCACGGCCTTCATTATGAGGCCGCGTTGAGTGTTTGTTTGTTTCTAAGGTTAGGTTGATTTTTTACTGAGGTGTATTAAATTTTATGGTACTTTGAACATTACTTTAATTATTGTTTTAAAACTAACATGATATTAGTTTATGCATTCATTACAGCATATAAAAAGTCGAATAATGAAATTGAACCGCACTCTACAGATTGGAAAAACTGTTGTTACCAACCTACCTGCCAAGTATTTTTTTATTTTGTTATCAGGAAGATGTTGCTGCCCATCTTCTGTTTTGTTTCTCTCCGTCGTCTCTTACGACTTTCATGAAATGATATGAGATAAATAAGGGATTATGTTACGCAGAATAATATACATGATGATAAAATTCTTGTAGTTAGACAATGCTCATTTAAATATTCGTGTTACTTTATAAGATTACAAGGATGTGGGCTGTTGTGCTTTAAAACAAATTGAATCGCCTTTTTTAATACAATTTACGCAATAAAAAAACCTAGTCTAGCCAATGGTAAGGGACTACAAGGAAAATCCTGGACTGCTCTGCATAACAATGGATGCATTGCTGCTTATCAGTAGAAATAGACAGGAGTAGTTTTGTATGTTATCATTACATTTCCTGTTTGCGTTTCCTTGTTATTTTTTGTTTCATTGTAAGTATTATTGACCGTGTAGTGGTGGTGTATGAAGATCCCCTAACCCATATCGTTCTGTGGTGTCGTAGGAGGTGACAAAGGGAAACAAACTAAGAGATTTGCAGCTGTGTCTTCCTAATAATTTAGTTAAACTGTGGTACTTACTACTAACTTAAAATTAACCGTGGTAGCGAAACCACCTGCTAATCGAGGCAACTATGACCAAAACCCAGTTATGAGGCAATCTATCTGACTTTTGGTAGGCTGTAATGGTAACGGTGTTCCTATATAATAATAATAATGTCCTCCAGACCGTATTTTGGTCACTTTTGAACATTTTTTTTCAAACCTCGCTGGCGGTGGTAGATACGAAAACTTTTACATATTGCTTTTGTATTATTTAAACTAAGATTACATCAAACATTATATCAAAAACGCAAAGTTGAGTGCCAAAATTTTGATTTCAGATTTTATTTGACTGGACTACTATGTGAAATGTCAAATGTTTATAGAGTTTGTTTATCTTTTGATGGCTTGACAAAGGTAGGATTATGTATGTTATTACTCTAAGGCTTATTTATTGCTTGACAAAGGTACCACACTCTTCAGTCCACTCTATGAACCTTGTGTATAAAGCAAAAATATAAAAACGTCAACATAAAAAGGTTTACATACAGAAATGCACGTGGGCAGTCGTCAAATAGGAATAATTCGGTATGGAATTTCTTTATAAATTGCTCCGAATAATTTATGAATAATATATTTCATATATGCTTTCGTATATATGTGAAATTTAATAAAACCGCACGCCGAGACCTGCGAAACCGTTAACCTAACTGCCCTTTTACTGACCATTTATTTATTACACTGTTTGAGTACTGGCGCTGTAAAAGTAATCAACCAAAACGGTCGACCAATTTGTTTTTAATTACTGTTCATGGTTCACTGCTACACTAATTTACGAAACGCCAAAAAATAATACTGCTGTTCGTTTATTTTTCAATTGACCGTAACATGTTTAAGTAACAGCTAGAAAATTATTCCCTTTTATTGCTTTTTATTGAAAATGAAATACTTTTTAAACCTATGAACAATGGAAGTGCAAAATATGTAATCGAACGTCCTCAATAAAAACAAAATAAGTGGTAGATGAGTTCTAATTAAAAGAAAGGTGTCATCATTATTATCATTTCATTACAGCATTTCATAAGTCCACTGGGGAACATAGATCTCCCCCAAGGCCGTGTTTTTTGATACAGATTTGAGAGATGGATACATCCATCGACTTTCTGCATGTTACCATGTCGACACTCCATCTATTGGGGGTGCTGTCCTACACGTCGCTCGCCGGTTCAAAGCTGCTACTCGTGAATATTTCTTCGTCATTTGTTTTCGGTTCTTCAACCAATACGGCGGGTCTATTCCCACTAAAGGTTACTGATCCTTTGGGCTATGTCAGTTACTCTGCGGATATTCTCATTACGAACTCTATCATGCAGTCAAACTCCAAGCATAGCCCTCTCCATAGCTCGCTGAACGACCTTAAGCTTCGTAGTTAGTTCCCCCATTTAGGATCCCCAATCGGACTATTTTTCTATAATATATAATATATATAGAGTATAATCGTGCACAGTTATGCATGGCCGTTGTAGAAAGGCGTATTTTATTAAATACTTAACGATATAAGTTTATTTTTACTGCTTCGATTTTAACCATTACACGTATTGTAATATTATTACAATTTGACGTATCATATATTATATATTGTAATATTAATATTTATGCTGTAATTTATTTAACTAAACAAAAATTCATAAATGAACCTTCACGCATAAGCTATTTTCAATAATGCATTAATAGAGATATTAATTTGCTTTGCTGCTCAAATATGTATGCGACATCGACAATTTGTACTCACGTACGAGATATTATGCCTTGTAAGCTAATACAGCAAAACGTTATGAAAGAGGTGATAAATGATATATTGATGTTCAAAGAGGGGTATCGTGAATATATTTCTTCATTCAAACTATTCAGTAGGTATCCTGCTAATGAAAGTAAACGAAAGAAAATTATTTTTTATATGCACTGTCATTTCCCATTTCGTAACACAATATACTCATAACTTGGTAGGTCGTTAGAGGCTCTTTAGTTCTAAGTACACACTGTCTTAAAGAGTAGATACCTATACAAGGCTTTTATTTTTTATTTTATTTCTACCTTAATAACTTTAGCACCAAATTAGGAATTTTCATTATTTATATGTACTCATAAAGGAAATGAGACGGAGAAAACGTTTTTTTTTATCAATGTTGTACTTATATGACATTGCTTTAATAGTCTTTACGTCAATGTATGGTAGTGAAAATGTGGAATGTCAGAAGAAGCATGATAGTTAAATTAATGCTGTAGAAATGTGGTCATTAAAAAGTATGTTAGGTGTGACTCTTGTAGTAAGGTGAGCAATGAGAGAAAAGAGTGTTTTGCAAGATGTTGTGACCAAGAATTAAGGAGGAATATTTTGATGTTTTTGACACGTAGAAAGAAAAATGAGGAAAGAGCGACAAAGCAAGTTTTGCTGAAGACAAGGGATGCCCCAGATGGTGATTTACCGACCAAATTGGCGATTTATTGAAGATGTCCATAATTGAGAGTATTTTTAATAGACGAGAATGATCCATGCTTAAATATTGGATGTGAAAGAAGTGAATAAGGTGTGTGGGGATCGTTCTAAATGGAAGTCTTCAGTCTCTGCCTACCCCTTTGGGTACTATTACTCAAACATAAACTCTAACGCCTATGCGTTAGAGTTTATGTTTTATTAATGTATGTTTAATTACCCTTACTACTCTATACTCTTGCAGTCCTCAAAACTTGAAAACAAGTGTTAGAAATCGTAATGATATCTGCAGTAGAACCAGAGTAACTGAAACAGATCAGCTAGCTGAATAGTGTTTTATATCACCTTATTTTATTGGCTGATAGCCACGATATTTTAGTTTGTTAAATCTAGATAGCTTGGAAACGATGCCAAGGTATACACAGAAAATGATTGAATATTTCCTTGTTAAACCGGAGGAAAATGGAAATCATAATTCAATTTATATTGCTCGTTGCCGTAGAATAACTTTGCAAAACAATACAATGTTTTATTTGCTGACTATGATTAAAATTTGATTGGATTGTGGCTTTATACATTTGCATTTAATGCGATATACGTAATGATCGGTATTAATTGTTTATCAATAATGGTGTGGTCTATGTGTAGCGGAGAGTTTGCAAACTATGTTTGTGTATCTGGGATAGGGCAGTGTGTAGTGTGGGAAGAGTAGGTAGGTAGTACATTGAGGTGTACTTACTCCAGGCCGGTGCAGGTACGATGAGGCCGGAAATCATGTCATCGGAGATGACGGGCGGTTCACTAGGCGGCGGTGGGCACACTAGGGAATCAATAATATCATCAGTCGCTGCGCGCATCATGCCGCTCAGCTCCGGTGGTTCCGTCCGTGACGATCTAATTTAAAAATTATTTAAATGTTAGTAGTTATCGTATATTATATTTTATTCTTCTTAAACAGTTATTTATCCACTAGTAGATATGGACCTTACATATTGTAGGAAGAATTATCCCTAATCGCCACGCCATGCCACGACACGGATGTGGGTGAATTGGTGATCACAATTTCGGACGTCTCACATCTTTGACGCTGCTTTAAATATGACTTATACACGGTGTTTTACAAACAATTATCACTTTTTACTTAGTCAATGCTTACAATATTTACGATATTGTCAATATAAAAGAATCTATATATCATAGGGCTAATATATCGGCATTATAGAAGGTTGGCAAGAAAATACAAAATAAATAAACACATGGTACAAAAATAATTTTACGAACTTTATCACGTTTAATTAATTAATTTTTTAACTCCCGTCGTTTCGGAAGCATTACAGCGCCTATAGTCACGTGAATGCTTGACGTCCTGATGTCATAGTTAACGAAGGATACTTTCAACATTTAAAAGTTAACTTTTAGTCCAATCTACGCAAAACGAGCTTACTGTATCTTAAAGTCTTGAAGTTTGCATGGATTTGAATTTAATTTTACTTATGTAATAAGAGAATATGGATATTAAATCTCTGATCAGTTGCCACGAACTTACCGTTGACAAAAAGGAGCACTATTCTCTCAGGTAACCCAAAAAGGTGGTTTATCATAAAAATAGACAGAACAGTTCAGAACAATAACATGGTGTCGAGTGTGACTATTTTCTTAGGGGGTATTAATTAACGCGGCGGGTAGACGTCAGGAGGCTCAATTGCGGGCACTCACAATAGGCAATGTGGTATAGCGCAGAGCAATCGCCCTGACAGGTGGCGGTCGGCGAGGGCCGCAGGGCGAGGGAGTATATAGGTCGCATCGAGCGCTTCAGTAAACTTGTCGCGGTCGCAAAAGGTCAGGTGTATGAGGGCGGGAAATGTCTATGAAGGCCTTCCGCTGTGGCCAGATATGACGCTTTATGCCGCACTTTAACTTCCGTTTTATTAAGCGCCAACTGCTCGGTTTCCTGTTCTAAGCAAAGTAAACGTTAAAATGTTTTTTCCTGGCAAATTCGCATTTGCCAATCTTAATTATTTGAAACTATTTGTTCGAATGTCTTCACCGCAGCTTAGTGATTAATGATAGGCAGTAAGTTGATCGGCTTTCGGCAATATTTGATGGGTCTATTAAAATAAATCGAAAAATTATAACAAAATGTACCTCATCATCATGACAAGAGAAAGTTCCTCCTGCAATACACTCTCCAAGTACATCATATCTAGGTCAGATACTATCGCTCCGTTGATCACCATTATCTCGTCGCCTTTGATTATTCCTGACAAAGAAGACAATAATTGAAACTTGAAGTTTGAATAGATTTTTTTGAAAAAATATGTTATTTATAAAACTGTTTATAAATAAATATTAACACCAATCTGAAGCTGATCTCAATCGTACAATTGTAAAGTTAGATAAATACCGTTTTGCATAGCGACGCTCTTATCTTCGACGCGACTAACGTAGCAACAAAGCTCATCTTGCCTTTCCGCATTTTCTATGAGCTCTGCTTCAACGCTGAATCCCCACATCTGCTCTAGCGTGTTCCGTTGCAATTCTACTTGGTATAGGATCTTGGCACACACTTCAACTACTTCATGTGTGTGTAACTATGTGATAGAAATAAAATCATTTAATAAATAATTTAAATTTACCTTCGTAGAGACATACAAAACGTTCACAATTTATAAGAAAATTTCGTTTTTATACAAGAACGGATAACGTACAGTCCATCTGATAGTAAGTGGATGCTGTGGCCTATGGACATATTTAGCATTGGTTAAAACGCAAAATGCTGTTGTCACCCCTGAGTACGAAAGGTCCCCAGTTCTCGTATCGAAACACAATGGCATTATGCAACTTTTTTCAAGCAGCAGATTTTTGTAGGTATCTGTACCAGTCGTACTGATTCCTTGCGGGCGTGGTTTTTTCGCCAGTCGTGTAGACCCCTTTGTATTACTGCAATATTTTTCCGCAGCATGTTACTATGTAAAGTTCATCAGCTTTGCCTGAACTGCATCTAATTGTTGCTGCGCTTAGTTATGGCATTTTACTTGTTACATTGCACTATTATATTCTAAGCCATAATTCATTTCGCATTGTTCATCGCTCGTAAAAGTTCACTGTTGGTTAATGGCTACTCCCATTTTAGACAGGATTTAACAAGGCTTGCAATTATTATGGCAATGGAAAAGTTCTCTTGAATGATTTTGATCATGGAAATTATATCCGAATAATGTTGAAAGTTATAAACTGCGAAGGAGATACGCAGGCCTTTACTTGCATTAATAATTGTTGTTGTGATGCTATGAGTAATTAAACTTATGTTATTTGTGTACTGTGAATTTTGAAACAAGCCTATTACTGCGCTACTACAGCTTTTGTCTTACATTTGCTCTAACATTTTGTCATTGATCGTATAATTAAATTTATAAATAGTTAGTAATAAGAACATTGAAATCACTTTTTTGATTAGTAAGTAACGAGCCTAAAATTTTGGACGCGTTTTGTAACCTTTAATATTGTTTAATAAAAATATGTAGTATAATAATATTAATAATAATTTTGCTATATAAGTAACTAAAAGCTACGTGTAACGACACTCTTCTTATAAAATACTCTAACCCATTTGTGCACACTCGATGACAAGGGAGATCACAAGTTTTGATTACTTCGCTCTTAGTGTAATTAAATACATTGTGTCCCAAGAAAATTGGTCTCTGAAGTCGACAATAATTACCGGAGGATATCATTAAGAAGTACATACTTAATTGTTACGGACGGTTTAAATTGCGCCTGTCGTCGGTAATTAGTTCATTCACAAAAAATGTCTTGTTTAAAACGACTTGGAAGTTCAAAATTAACTATCTAGGTACTATGAAAGCTTTTTAAACGTAACTTAACCTTTAGTTTTAAAATACGATAGCAAACTAGAAACCACTTTTTAATCACTGAAGGCGTATTCCATTACAGTATTTTTATTCGTAGAAACACTTTAAAATTTTCGTTCTGGCTCTTAACGGATTTTTAGTTTAATTATTTTTAAAGAAATCTCCTTCAGATTTACTGATAAAATTCTTTTTTTTAGTATAGTCGTACAAAATAATAATGTTTGTGGTTTTTTATTATTATTCTTGTGTATCATGTTCTTTAATGTTGTAAATAACGACGATTTGTGATTTAGCCGTCTAAGGCCATTCACGACTTCCACAGTAATCGAAAATCTATCTACATGTTGATCCCATACATGTGACCAAATTCTCGGAAATGTGAAAATTGTTTATTTTTCATAAGTTATTCATTGAATAAATTCTTTTTCTTCTCATGGATCACCTCCATAAAGAGATCCTTTATTATAACATTATAAAATATCACTAAATAAAAACTAAATTAATTTAAAATAGGCACCGAGTCAAACAAAGTGCATGTAAGTACAATAAAGACTGTTTTAATGCATAATATGTGTATATTATGTAATAAATAAAATGAATAATAAATATCATTCATGGCTTCACATTATTTGCTGGTCGCTCGCATGCTCACTGAGTTTCGTCACTAAAAATAGTTGCAAGTCGCTCAGATTGAAGTCCACATAGCCACAACAGTACAAACTACAGTACAAAAATAACAAAAGTAACACAGTTGATAACTTGTAGTTTTTATTTAGTAACCAGCTTTGGCATTTGCAGGATAATATATTACCAGGAGAAAATTGTCGATAAACCAAAGTAATAGGGATATTTAAATAGAAGTGGACTGTTTGATGGGTCTCTCCCGATGTATGAAGGATTTGCCTTGAAAGTTAAGCTTGGAGGTGGATAGATGAACGCAGTACCAGACGGCTTGCAATTTTGACATTGCTGTCCGTTGCCGGTCAGGGTATTTTATGTTTGTCGGAAGCAAAGTTGTTATATCATTATCTAAACCGATTTTATATCCTACTATCCTACTAATATTATAAACGTGAAAGTTTGTGGGGATGTATGGACGTTTGTTACTCTTGCACGCAAAAAATACTGAATGTATTTTAATGAAACTTCACAATAATATTGCTCATACATCAGAATAACACATAGGGTATAATTAATAAAGACATGGTGTAAATTGGTCAAAATATAATGATAAGTGTTAAGTCGGGAAAATCTGTCATCTGTAAGCTATTTTGGCGTGCGGTGCAAAAACTGTAAGAGCTACACAAATAAAAAGTATGGTGGAATTGTTTCTCCTAAATAGTTCTACAAAAAATTGTGCTACAGTAATAGCTGTAGAATAGCTGGTGTATTTATATAGTTGGAAATACAAACAATAGTTGGTATTTCCTATAATTCCATGTGCTGAAAAGAATATAATAGATTCTCTAACGTCGCCATACACGTTTTTATTTAGGTCTTTTAAAATAAAATTTTCAGGATGACGATGTTAATCATGTTTCAGTAATCATGACTCAGTAAAATCATTAATAGTACTGCAGTCCGAACGACAAATTTAGTACATATAACGTTCTCCAAACCAGCCAGTCTCAACGGAGAAGAGTCATTTGCGCAGGATAGGATCATAGTGCACGAGTGGGTGATCCATTACAGGTGCACTCTACATTTTCTCACTCTTATAGTTCGATAGGATAGCAATTCGATACAACCGAAGAGCGATCACGTACAGGACCAATGGATTTATGTGCTTTCTGAGGCAAGGGGATGAAACTCCGCAAAATTTCTGACTCCGGGTTGCTTCTTAGGATTTGTTCACAAAATAAACTCAATAATTGATTTTGACTAGAACTTGGGACCACATGATCAGAGTTCACACTTATGTCGATACGATACAATGATACGACCATTAGACCAATAAGACAGTCAGTTAGTAGATATTTGTAATGGTAAGATGTAGGATGTATATATACATATATTATAAACGTCACAAATCAAACGATGTAATAATATTAAAGGACTGAAAATATCTTTCTTTTTTTACTAATTATATAATTTAATCAGACTGCTTAAACAAACAATCTGAGTAAATTATGCTAACAATCAACTGTGAGATCGGCAAATCGTCGATATATTTAGCCTTAGCAAATTTATTTTCTATTATGTTATTAATTCTATTTTGTTGCTTTCTTTGTTATTTTGTAGAAACATATATTTTAACAAATAATCTATAACATAGTTATTTAATTATAGTTCTACATATTATATAGTACCTTATATATAATTCTAATCATGACTATAGCTATTTTTACACACCGTCACCTTAAATTGGTCGCTATATGTCTTAACTTCAGAGAACCACTTCCGTTTATTTATAAATTATAGCCCATCCAAGATACACTGCTGAACATAGACGTACCTCATAGACTGCCTTATAGGGGAATTGTTGATTTGCCGTAGTTGCCATAGTTGACGCGCTTGGTAGTTGGTTGACAACGGCAGTTCATATTTATTATTATTATTGAGTTATCAGGAAGGTGCTGCTACAAATCTTCTATTTCAGTTTCCTTCTGTCGGCTTTTGCGACACTGCGAATTTTATGCTAGGTGTAGTAATGGAGGTGAATGTTGGGAGTATCATGGATCGAATTTCGCACCAACGTCTCCATACGCAAAGAACGCGGCATTAAGCAACACCTGTCAACGTTAGTGCAGATTTGTATATTAAAGTTTTTCGGACACTTATCCTAGCGTGAGACTGACATCATGGCATCTTTGTCATGCAGGTCAAAATGGAAGATACCAGAAAGCGAGGAAAGTCGCACTTGCGATGGTCCGACCAAATAATTTCTGCTGTGGGCGGTCTCTTGCACGAATGTAACAGCCGTGGTAGCTCAGAAATTAAGCGCTCTCTGAAAATTTCACTGTACGCAAGCGACCTGGGTTTGATCCCTGTCGGCACTAATGAAATTATTAAATGCAATTTTAAGTGCTGATTTACCACGTGCTTGGGGGTGAAGGAAAACACCGTGAGGAAACCTACGGGTCTGAGAAATTAAAAAAATATTTTAAAGACATGCAATTCTGCTTAAATGCTTTAGAAGGCTAAATAACATAATATATAATTAATGTTTTTGTATATTTTTTTAAAGTTAACTAAATTATATTAATATGCAATAGGATAAATACTTACATAAGTTTCAATGAGATCACTTCGGTGAGGGACAAAATAGTTATGGTCCTCCATGTCCCGGCGTTTTTTAACACGCACGAAATGTTCCAAAGCATTGAGGGAACGACGAGCGCATGCCGCTGCAAGGAACTCTTCGACGGACATGCCTTCTCGGACCCCGACCGTGGCGGTTGTACCCTCCGGTAGGGAAACTCTCACCGCTGCCTCGCCTTCTTCACGTGACATCTGTTTTTAGTATAAACATTTTTAATTTTTTTTTATGGGATAAATATCCACAACATATGAAACGTATAGGCATCGCTGTATTATTTATGTCTGTTATACCTTTTATGGTATGCCTACTAAGTATGGGAAAATGTCATAATATAGTACATAAAATGCACATATTATAATGTATGTATTATAATATGTGCATTTATATGTATTATTTGTATCCCTCACAGAAATGTATTTCGTATCGTATCGACAAATTTGTTTGAAAGATATATATATATACATATATATATATATATATATATATATATATATACATATATATATATATATATATATATATATATATATATATATATATATATATATATATATATATATACATTCAACTTCAATGAAGGTATTATCATTCCTGTTCCTAATAAAACAATATAACTCTTCCAAATTTAAAACGATATTTACACAATTATATCTTCTGCGGCTGCAACGCGCCGGGTACCAGCTAGTTAGGATTAAATTCTTTACGGTATATAAATATAGTGTAAGTTTTCTTTTATTACAAGTTATTAAATTTTCTGAGAAAGCAATTATGTTTATATAATCTAACTCTCAGAGTTATTTTTACCTTCTTTGTAATTTGTTGAGGAAATACGGCGGAGCGCTTAATGAAAGGTATGAGGCAATGTACGATGGAAAATATACTAACAGGCACTTTTCGTGCTAGCTTATATTACAGGCTGGATAATAGCGCAACATTATAACTAATTTCTGTATAGAATATGCTATCGCCGTACTTCAGTAGTTAAAAGATTTATTCTAGCGGGCGTTTCCGGTGATAATTTAGCTGTAACATACGTAATCCTTGTTTTCGGAACTACACGTGAAATACATTATTTGAACATTTTACAGCGTCTGCCCAGTCCAAGTAACGATATATTGCTTTCCTTAAAAGCGGAGCCGTAAGAAGAATAAATAAAAAATGTAGCCCTCTTTTTTCATTTTCTTTAGATTAAAAAAGCTTTTAAGAAGAATTTAAGCTTTTAAGCTAGTAGAAAGGTTTTGATTAAACTCGCAATTTTGGAGTACTATGAATCTGAAAATTAATTTATGACTCATATAGGTGGCATTTTGATATTTCGCATGCTATATACTTTTTGGATTTCTATGCTTATCTCTACTTATTTGGTGTGATCAATATCAATCGACAAGAGAAAGCTAGCGCAATATATATATACTAGCTGACCCTGCAAACGTTGTTTTGATATATACATTATTTCTAAGAAATATTTTTTAATTTTAAAAATCGCGATTAAAAATCAGGGGTTGATCGTAGAAGGGTGAAAATTTGAAGTTCTATGTATTTTTCAATGCTAAATCATAATAAAAAAATTTAAAAAATTGTCAAAAAAAAAAAAATATTTAGGGGTGCGTAACCCTTATCATTTAGGGGTTTGAAAAATAGATGTTGGGCGATTCTCAGTGTAAGTAAGGCCCGTAATGTTTATGTACCTTACACAATAAATTGTATTCATTTCATTACCGTATAAGTGTAACGTTAGGTATGCACAAACTACTTAACGGTAAGTTAAGTTAAATAAATACAAAAAACTCAGTTATACAATATATAAAAGAAAATGTGAAATTATTTTTATTTCGTGTGTAGTTCCACTTATTTTTCATAAAGTTACATACGAGCTTTTTTTAATTAATATGAGTGTAATCGACTTTACCTGCATAGAGCGCCGGCTCGAGCCAGAGTTCGAGCGTGATAAGTTGGGCGCCCGTCGCTTGGTGGCGCCACGCCCTGCCAGCAAATTGTTCAAGAGCGACGGCGAGCGAGCGCAAATAAACGCATGGAACGACGACACCGTGAACACACCCAATTTATTCAGCGTGCTCTTTGTGCCGCGTGACACGTGTGTCAGCAATGACTGAAACAAACCCCGTTTTCAACAGGAAACAATTGCTCGTGTTCCGAGAATTGCTCGTAATTATGCGACACATATTCAAAGTTATTCATTTAACCGTCGCGCAAATACGTCTTTATAACTTTACACTATTCTGAGCACTTCATGACATAACTTGATCATCATAAGCATCCATTCTTCAGGGATAGTTTCTTCTTTCGAGTTGTATAGGTGCTATTCGTATTCGCTGTTTCATTTTGTATTCAAGGCCAAATTTTTATGTAATTACAAAACAACTTTATGGTTTACGCTCCATAAACCAAAACTTTATATATTTTATAGTAACGTAATGCCACTGCACTGATATGCCAGGAAGTGAGCAGTATCCTTTCAGTAAGAATGGTTGTTGAATGTATAGGTTCGAGGCTGTTATACTCGTTGGTCCAAATGAAATTGGGCTTAGAGTAGTTATTTGTCCTGTATGTTTACGCCTCAGACATGCTAAACCCACTGATATCCAATATAAGTCTACCAACTCGTAAGAATTACATTAATAAAAAAATGTATGGATAATGAAAATATTATAACAGTGTTAAAATATTTTAATGGAAGTCTTGTTAGAGTAGTGTACTGGAAAAGTTCAATGATGAAACCCTACATACAGTATGTTTTAAAAGAAACATCCTTTAATGGGAAAGAGGAAAAGAAAGAAGCGTGATTGATTTCATCATTATGGATAAGAGAAGCGTGATAAGTATGGACGAAATAATGAAAGAAATGAAAAGCGTGAAAGTGGTTTAAACAGCTAGGTAGTAATAGAGTGTCAATAGAAATGCTAAGGCGAAGAGAGAGTAATGGCAAGCCTGCTGTACACTTTGTTTAAATTATGCTGTGAACTGAAGCGTGTTCTGGGAGTCTGGTGTAAAGCCGTTGTAGTTCCACTATATATTAGAAAAGAGTCACAGTAGGACTATAAAAATACCACGGAATCAGCCTGTGATAGATAGAGTCGTAAAAGAAGTTGATAGAAGAATTGGGGAGATGCAAGCTGCTTTACGATGGGGTTGGGTTTTTCACATAATCCCAGATAATTTTTGGCAATACTAGATTTTTAGTGCATTTTTAACTTGGAAAGGGCCTATGACAGAATAGGCGAATGGCATTAAAACATATGCTTTAAAATATTGTCGTACTCTGCATAATGAATGCCATCATATTATTGAATTATTGAATACCAATTAAGATCTTAATTGGCTGCTACTTGGCGAATAGTTATATTCGTTAATTATTTAGCATACCTCGGACGTTATTTCATTGAGTGTGAAATTTTATATCCAAAAGCTAAATTAAAAATATTAAATAATTTCGTTTACTTCTGTTTTTATATTATGTGAAAGACACATGTTATCCATTAACGAAAATCGTATTTAATATCTTTTAACAGAGGCAAAAAATATACAAAGAATGAAACACACATGGAGTAAAAAGCTCTTTAATACTTTCATATATTATATATACGGTTATAAAACCAATCCTCGGTAAAAGTTACCTGCGATTCGCGTATCTTCATCGAATGCATTTATTAAAATTACTTTAAGTTTAATTATCAAAGTTGGACTTAAGGATTATTTAGATATCAGAGGCCATTGCATCTATAAAGAAATACACCCCTAAGATTTTAAAACTCAGTCGATTAATACAAACAATTTTCTTTAATTTTCTAACAGTACATAGAGAAATATATCTCTAGGAAAAATTATGTTTTGTGATGTGAAAAACGAGCGGTCGGAATTACTCACCATTCAATTTTGTTTAGGCCTTTTCAACCCTTAAATATGCATAAAACCGAGTATGTATTTGTTATCAAAAGGATTATAATAATGTTGCTGCTTGACTGACTTTTCACAAGTATACTTTTATTCATAAGCAAGTTAAGACCCGAAAAAGATACACGGTAGGTGAATTGTAGCAAATTTATTATAATATTTTTAGGTAGCTATTTATAAAGCATGACGTGGGTCCAGTACAGACCTTACCTCCTCTACGTGCTGACAGGAAAACTGTCAATTTGCCAGTGAAGTCAACACATATCCTTTTTCTGTCAGTTCAATGAAATCATTTGGCAGTGAAATATTTTTAACACACATGCTTGCGGATAATTGGATTTTTCTCTTATTTAGACTCGTAGTGTTTTTGTCTTTAATATAATTGACGAACACGTACCTAAATCTTTCCAACAGAAGTGATTGATATCTTGGTTTTCATTCAGTTTCTTCTAACATATTGTTTTGTCTTTGTTTAAGCAAAAAATTCTATTAGCAGATAATTTTATATAAGTATATTACTCTTACTTATGCTTGGTGAAGTCATTAGAGACGGTAATAGTTTTATGATTTTAATTCATATTTAAGTATACTGACTGCATTATAATATAAAATACGGGTTACTAAAATTACTAGTAAATATGCGCTAGTACAAAAAAAGTAAATACCATTACCATAATATAGCGTATTAAAAAAAATATTTTTTAAATTTTTCTATATCTTTAAATATCATGCTGAAGAAATTCTCAAAGCACCGTCTTGAGCCACTTCTGTCCATCGGTTGTCGGTTCTTCGAGCTATATGGCGGTCTATTGCCACTTGCCTCTTGGGCTATGTTCCACTTCGGATCTTATTTCAAAGTCTATTACAAATGTAGTCAGTGTCATTGATTAAAAGGTGAGTTAAAGAGCACTATGATTTAATGCATGACTTGTATATACATAATACAATATGTACAGGGTTATTTTTCAATAACGGGCCAAATTTGCAAAGAAAGTTCAAAATAAGTAATATAGGCAAATGGTGAAGAAAGTCTCATAAAAAAGTCCTTTTTATCTTTTAAATTCAACATGTGTGGTAATGGCATTATTTTATCTGATTTTATTGCACAGGCCCACATTAGCAAGGGTTACAATAATAGTGCACGATTGAAGGATGTTAATTTAAAACTTTTTTATTATAAGTCACATTTATCATTTGTTATGACTCGGTAGCGCAGTGGCTAAGCATTCGATTAGTGCGCTGCTAGCTGCGAGTTCTAATCCATAAAGGTGCAAGAAATTATGGAGCATTTAAATAGTTTACCTTAGGATTTGGTAGTTCACCACTTTGAAGGCTGGCCATGTAACAACGAAGACGGAATTGCTCGCAGTGAAGGCGCTCCAGGTTCTCCTCCCACTGAAGCATCTGTACAGCGAGCTGGGCTCTGGTTTCAGGATCCGAGACTACCGATTGTTGTAGGTCCGCCATGTGTTTCAATTTATGATCCTGGTATGTTAAGAGTAATAACCGTTTTATATTACTACGATGTGAATCAAAATGTTACAAAATGAAATCAATAAATGTTAAAACTGTTAAGCATACGATATAATATAATAAAATACAATATAATAAAAAAATATCAAATATATATATATATATATATATATATATATATATATATATATATTACTGTAAAAAATCAGTCATTTTTAATATCGGGTCTGTTTGGGCAGCCGCATTTTATATCAATGTCTAATTTCAATCATCTGCATAAAACAATCTCGGAAAATAACCTTGTTCGATATTATCATGTAATCATCAAAGCTCGTAATAAATAAATAAATAAAAATTATATTGTTTTAATATACAGAATAATTTATACATAGCATTGTTCATTATTTTTTTAATGTTACCTACTCTATATCAAAATTTGTATGCTTAACGTTGACTACACAACTTCTGTAAAAAGCTCGTTGTTAAAAATAGGAGCAAAGCATACTGCACATCTAAACTTTATACTTTCACATATTTTTCCTGTGACAATAGATTTTTTGTTACATGAGAATGCGGCAAATGAAAAAAGGTTACCTGTACCTACTGAGCGCGTAAATACCTATTTTATACGAATTTTTTTTTCATAAAACTCAAGCAAAATTGCCAAAATATTTTCGGCCAATATTTATAATTCTGCCAGTAACTTTTTTAAGCAATAACTTCAATAAGCTTTTTGGTGTATTTTTGGTATTTGGTGGTCTCAATTTGTTTTCGCATTAAACAAATTTAAAAATGCAGACACAAAGGCTTAAAAAGTAGATTACGTAAAACATTTTGCATAGTAAGTATAGGCTTGAAATCCACACGAAGTATGAACCTGTGCTATGAATATTAATGACCGCGTGCCACCTGCCTGTGATCACTATCAGGAAATACTCTGTATTACTAACATGCTAACGTATATTCATACTAAATATATTCTTCACTCTTAATGTGAAATAAAGTAGCCATTTAGGTTAACTTTTTTAAATAATTTCATTAAAATAGTATAAAGTTAAATAGATTTCCGTTTATAATATTACGAAGATATGTAATATACTCGTATATACATAAATTCCATGCGAGATATTTGTGAAAATATAATTTTGAATGCGAAGATTTATGTAATATATAATCGATACCTCCGTTTATAGGCACTCGAATTTATTTGGCATTCAATGCTATGACGCTAATTCTGAATATGTTTAAAATGTTAAGGCTAGAAGGCACTAGAAATATGACGAATATGTGGATATATACCCCCAATAAAGAACTACAATAATAATTATTGTTAAAGCAGAAGTGCTTACGTTTAATGTACATATAGTATGGAACAAGGCCATAAGGCCCTTTGAGCATAATGCATATATGTATTATTTACAAAGTTCTTTTATAAGCGATGAGGCTAGCTTAAGAATCCAATATTACTAGTCAACTCAGTAGAATATCTAACTTCTATGTTCTAAGTTTCTTCTTTGTTCTACAAATAACTGCACATACGTATTATGAAAGCACAGGGATCAGATAACAAAAGATATTGCGATGGAATCGCTGTTGTATTCAGCTACTAGCATTGTGTTTCACTGGTATTTGATTTAGATGCCCCTATCTAAGGCAGAGTTCTTCTTGCGAGTAGAAATTAAAGCCCATGTTCGTAGCGGTTTTCGTGTAGTGATCAGATGCGGCCGCAAACGCTATGACGCGTATTGCGGTCGTCCGGTGCGGGTCACAAATTGGCACGATTTCCACTACGAACGTTAAAGACCGCATGTAAACCGTTAATTTCGCATATCATAAATGAATTTGCTTCGGCGTAGCTAATGTTCGTATATATATATATATATATAGGAATGTAGTTTATAAGTCATTCAAAATAAATATTTTTCATATTTTTATAATCAGGTAGTTGAAGCATGTATAAAAACGTTGGACAAGAATTGACACACTTTCGTACATTTTAAAAATAACTGTGGTAACATATTGGACTTTATAATTTTCGCATTCGCTGTATAGTATTAAAAAAATATCAAGAACAGGATAATTTTTGATCTACTAGCACAACTACCCTTATATTAATATGATTCTGGCTAAGCAATTGTAAACTCACTAATAAATATTACTTAGATATTATTAATGCATCACATTATTGCATAGAAAGTTATAAATAGCATAGAAATATAGAAGGTTATAAATATATATATGCATGACATTATATATTTATAACCTTCTATGCTTTTTCTTTGTCCTGTCCTACTTTAGAAATAAATATTAGGAAAAACAAATTTGTAGAATAACGGACACTTCTTCCAATAAATTAGTAATTATTATGATATAGATATGATTATAGAAACTTTGTGCATCTTCATAAATGTAATTATGTAAGATTATAGTATTTGTGGAAATCATAGCAGAACAATAAATTTGTCTGCATAAATGATGAATGCTTATTGCTTCGTTGAATTGTACACACTTGAAAGCTTTATACAGCTCTTGAAAGCTTTTATATAAGTTGAAATAATGTTGAAAAATGACTCTTGCTATAGTTAATTTTAAAGTTGACTTTTGGCCGTCGTGATTTCAGTTTGCGAAGGTAGTTAGTGATTTGTGTCAGTCAAACAATACTTTTGTTGGTTCAGGCTGACACGGTGTAAATCGTTGAGTTGTGCATAATTTCGTAGTGAATTTGGTATTGTGCTTCTTTAACTTTTTCATACGCTGCAGATATTTCCATAACAAAAATAGTACTATTTCGAAGAAGGCTTTCCTGCTTTATTTTTTAAAGGGACATTTCTACAATATGACTCTTTTCTTTATCATTTTTAATTAAAGTTAAATTTAGTATACTCACAGATTCTATAGCTTTCTCGAGACGATATATTTCCTCTTGCAGCAAATGAAGTGTTCCGGTTTTGCCGCGATGTCGGGCGAACGCTGCAGCGCATGCACTATGTATGCTATTCACCCAGTTCTCAAGCTCGACCTGTGAGGTTATATAAAACACATATTGAGGAAATGTTACAAGTGACTTACGACGGTATTTTTAGATTTCCAAATGACTTACCTGGCATGGCGCTTGAAATAGGTAAGCGTCGCCAAATGCCGTGCTCAGACAAAATATGTAGTCACGTTTGGGATGTTCCGGTATTGGTTGCATTATTGCACCGTCGACTATAATAAGGTGTTTGGGAGCGGCTTCTACGGATCGACCTTCTCGTGAATCGCAGGGGTAAAAAAGTAGCGTAGTGCCTTTCAAGCACACCCAGTAACCTTTCCAACCACGTTTCCGAGCCAACTCGATCTGGTGTTTCTTACGCAGTAGCCACTTTTTCACGCTCAAAAATCTGCACAAAATGTTAAATTAAATTAATATTACAGAATAATGCCGAGCTAAAAAAAAACAACAATCAAATTTTATTTATAAAATCTCTCTGCATATTGTCTCCACTATAAATAATATAAATAGTCTATAATTGTAAAATGCATAGATACTTTTTGGTTTATAATAATTATATAGTATGTACTTCCGGTGCAATTCAAATATAAGTACTGTACGTTCGTTACGAACAGGTTAAAATAGTTAAATATCTTAACGGGCACGTAAGCTTTTGTACCAACCATAATTATTATATCAGAAATATAGCTATTTGTAATAGTTCTATCTTATATAATATATATATATATAGTATAGAGCTTTGTTTAATCCTCCTTATTCTATTCTGAACAAAAATACTCATACTGTAATAGTAAGAACTAGGCTAAAGTGATTGCCTCCCGTCCTTAATTTTAACAGTACAAGAGCAACTTGGGATTGATTTCCGTCGACAAAACCGATATTATTAATCGTAATTTTAAGTGTTGACTTACCACGTATTTAGCAGTTAAGGAAAATATCATGATATAAATATAAAATGCAAGACTAAAAATTTAAAACTACTTAGAACACATGAAGTCCTTCCGAAACTTTTACACCACCTTTACACCACATATACGATTACTGTACTTTTAAGCTATTTTAATTTAAAATAGTAAAGTGAAAACTGTGACCTTTTAGTTAGAATTAAACAGTGAATGCTTTAAAACTTTCCAACAGTATTACAGGTATTTCACGATGTTAAGCATTTTGACCCAATTAAACACGGGCGCTTGATCTTGGATGGGACCGTTTCCGTATTATGATTTCAATTGCTCATTTAACTTGAACAACTTTTTGAACGACTTTAAGTGACGTCTATGGACAAGAATCATTCCAACGTATACTGTTCACATAATGACATTGTCGGAAAGAAAATCGAACGTGTAGTGTTTAATATGCGCTAAATATAATTCCGTTTAAAATTGTTACATAGTGTAAACACTTTTTATTACGTATAGATATTATTTACGGCATTAACTATTTAATTTAAAACCGTGTTTATTACGAAACAAAGATAGTACTAAGCTACTAAGATATCTAATATACATCCACTGCTGAATTTAAGATAGAATTTTTCTCCAATGAATGCCACGAAATACGGTCTTATGCTACCATTCTTCCCTATGGATTGTCATGTACACATTAGATGTCAAAAAGATTTAAAAATTGAGTATTTGATTGCATTCTGGCGAAAATGTTGATGTCAGTTTTAAGGAATTGTAGTTATATGAAACAAATCCGAAATTGGTCTTCCTGTGTAATTATCACGTCCACAAAATTTACATTCAACTCCCGATTCACTCGGTAAACTAATATACATTGGTTGCAATTTTTTTTTAGATTTTAATTTAGTTCGTCTGTTATTATTCAGTATCAAAAAATGTTTGCAGACTAAGAAAATACAAATTACAATTACATATTGTGCCAGTAGTTATTAGAGTATAAGAAAATCTTGTCTGATATAGATCAATTATAAAATATATTTGATAACGAAAAATAATATATATACCAGAGTATTTAAAAGAAAAATCCAAAAGGTTAAAAAGGTGCTTATTAAACACTTATATCTGCCTACATTTAAAATAAAAAAATAAATGGTTTTCTAAAAAGATATTACAGTGTAACATTATTTAATCTGTGTTACAGTTTTAAAAGGAATAGGAGAGCCACCAGGTGGAAACGAAAAAAAGCATAGCCAAATTATACAGAAATTTAACTACGCTAATGGAGAATACTTTAAAAAGGGATTCCAGCTTTTGAGTAGGTTTTTATTTCGAGGTGCTTTTACGTATTAAGTACATCCGAGTTAAACTTTTTTAAATTCACTTTTTAACTTGCTTATTTTCAGAAAACATCAGATAAAATGGGTTTAAAAATCTAGCTTTTAATAATTTACTAGAAATGTATTATTTGTTGTTAATTTATTTAGGAATATAAATTAGATCACTTCTTATTGGGGCTGCTATCTGTCGGGGTCTCTTCGGCTTTATCTTTGCGAAGCTTGCGGATAATTCTATGAATTTCTTTTTATTTCCGTGGAAATCCCGATTGAGTGATTGAATATAAAATAAATGAGAGAAATTTGATTATTCTAAGACAACGCAAGGAAACATGAAATACTGTAGGAATTTAAAAAAAAATGTGTCAATTTTCGTAACTGACGTATACCAAATTTTTCATTTCATAATGTAAGTAAAATTTCTATTTTGGCATTATTCACATTATAAGGTCTCTAAGGTTCATATTAGATTGAAATTATTTTTTTTAGGTTTAATAAATAACAAATATATATATATATATATTCATTAGTATATTGTTCCGTTATATAGTTGTATTTTATTGATGGAAGGAAAAGTAATTGTTCGAAGTAAATTTTAACAGTGATACCATTTATTGTTGACATACCATGCATTAAGTTTGCTCCGAAATTTATAATGCAACGGAGTGGAATAATTTGCCAGCATATGTCTTTCCATATGATTACAGTGTGGGTGTCTTCAAGGCAATAGTGAAAATACTTTGATTAAGCTAAGTCAGTGCACTTTATCATCTTCGGTTGCATCAGTACTCACTATTTGGTGGGATAATAGTCAAGCCCTTGGCTGCCCTAGGATTCAAATATTTATTTATTTTTTTAGGAGAGGGGGCAAGCAGTATGCAAATCACCTGATGGTAAGTGACTACCGCCGCCCATGAACAACTGCAACACCAGGGGAATCCGCCAATTAAAAATGAGTAGGCTCTTTTCTTGAAGATTCCTAAGTTGTATCGGTCCGGAAAAATCGCTGGTGGTAATCGATTCCACAACAAAGTTATGCGAGGAAGAAAACATCTTCTAAATCGCACAGTGGTGGACCGCCATCATTCAGATGGTATGGATGGTATCGGGAGTTCTACCGCGATGTTCGTTTGTGAACTTTGGCGGCTGGGATTAATCCGAACAATTCCTCAGAGCACTCCCCGTGGTAAATGTGAAAGAAAATGCAATGGGATGCAACATCTCTTCGCAGCGCTAATAAATCGGGCCGATCGGAAAGGACTCGGTCGTCGACGATTCATGCCGCTCTGCGCTGGATGCGGCCAAGTGGAAGGAGCTGGTACTGGGTAGCCCTAGCCCAGAGATGGGAACAGTATTTTATGTGAGGCCAAACCTGCACCTTGTAAAGTTGCAGGCGTTGTGCTGGCATGAAATATTGTCCCGCTCTGCTGAGCACGCCTAGCTTTTTGGAGGTCAATTTGGCCTTCTCTTCCAAGTGATCACGAAACTGCAAGTCACTCGAAATGTCGATGCTGAGAATTCCGATTCTGGCTGAGGCAACAAGGGGAGTGCCTTAAAACTGAGGAAGTACGGCATAGGGGTTCTTTTTAGCGGTAGATGCGCAAACTTGTGTCGTCTGAGGATTAAGCTGGACTAGATTAAGTCGCGCCCAATCCGAGACTTTGTTCAGCAAAGACTTGACTTCAGACACAAGTTTGCTCTGGTACTCGGCGACGTTTTCCCGAGAAATATTGGCACGGCTGGTGTATGGAGCATCACCAGTGCATCCGCATAGCAATGAATGTTACCGGTTTGCAACATATCATTGATATGCAGAAAAAACAGCGTTGGTGATAGCACGCAGCCTTGTGGAACACCAGCGTTAATAGGCTTGTAAGCGGAGCACCCACCGTCTACTACGACCTTGATGCTCCGATTTGCAAGAAAGCTGGTGATCCAATTGCACAATTTCTCGGGAAGCCCATAGGAAGGGAGCTTCGAAATAAGCGCTTTGTGCCAATCCCGATCAAAGGCCTTCGCAATGTTCAAACTAACGGCCAATGCCTCCACCTTGGACTCTACTGCCTCCGCCCATCTATGAGTCAGGTAGACCAGAAGATCCCCAGCTGATCTCTGACGAAAACCATATTTGTGGTCACTAATCAGATGGTGATCCTCAAGGTACCGCATGAGTTGGCAGTTTATAATGGATTCCATTATTTTGGAGAACAATGAAGTGATGGCGATAGGCCTGTAGTTGGAAGGGTCTGAGCGGTCGCCTTTTTTAGGGATCCGGTGTCCACCTGATCCCTAAAAAAGGTGGACAAAAGCTGTCTTCCATGATTTCGTGACTACGCCTAGGGAGTAGGAGTACCGGAAAAGACGCGTTAGAACCGGTGCCAACTCTGGAGCACACGTCCTAAGCACAATTGGTGGGATTCCGTTAGGCCCACTCGACTTTTGGATGTCCAGGGAGAGAAATGCTTTGCGAACCGAGCACTGTGAGAACCGTACATCCGGCATGGAGCACTCACACCGCGGGATGGTCGACGGTGTGTTCCCCCTGTCATCAAGAGATGAGTTGGACGCAAAAAGAGAGCCTAAAATGTCAGTTTTCTCTTTTGCGTCGTGGGCCAGTGAGTCGTCCTGCCTGTGCAGAGATGGTAGTGATGGCTTACAGAAATTTCCTTGGACAGCCTTGGCGAGAGACCAGAATGCACGGGTTCCCGAAGGAAGGCGAAATAGTTTCTCGCCAATTCTGCCTATGTGCTCTGACTTTGCCGTGGCAAATGGCAATAACTCTTTTGAAGGACCTGGAGGCGAAGTTATACTTCTTTTTAAGCACGCTGGTGTTTACATCCCGAGCCGGCGAAGCCCCAGCCCAGGCCTGATAACACTCCTGCTTACTGCGTAATGCAGTCTTACAAGAGCGACCAAACCGAGGCAAAGATCTGCCTTCGATGGGTACCACAGATGATGAAATAAATAGTCCCATTCTCTGTAGCACTACATCAGCGTCAGAGTCAGAGCCAGCAACAGCGCTGGGATCATCTGGCGAGAAGCAAACCCGCCCCCATGGGTAGGATGCAAAGAAAGACCGCATTCCGTCCCAATTAACCGATCTGTAATGCCAAACACAGCGGCAACCTGCAGCACGCAACCACGAGGGGAGCGTCAATGGCACCACACTCCGGATCAGACAATGGTCCGATGAGCCGAGAGGGGCATTGACGGAAACCTGATATCCGTCCGGATGAGAGTTCAGCAGAAGGTACAACAGGGAAGTTGTATGATCCTCCATATCTGGAATCCGCGTAGGCGAAGTAACCAGTTGTGTCAGACCATATGCCAAGGCAAAGTTATAAACAGATCTCCCCGCAAGATCGATTTAACGTGAACCGAGCTATTCGGCGTGGTGGGCGTTAAAATCGCCAAGGATCACGATCTCTGTGGATGGGACCTATTGTAGCAAGGAATCTGTAGCCATTTGGACGTGGTCGATGAGTCGGTCTGTTTCAGCATTACCGCTATTGGACTTATAGAAGCACTAGTAGACGCGCGGATGGTCGTCGCTGTTTACGCGTAGCCAAAGGATGGACAGGTCCGAACCTTCAAGACTGCCGATGCGTCGAGGACTGATGTCCTCTCTAACATGCATACTCCAGCTGAAGGCACAAAGGAGTGTTTCAATTTCTACCCTGAGTAGGAGGAGTACGAAGTAACAGCCGGAGAGGGCACCTGCGTCTCAGTCAGAAAGAGCAAGGCTTCGCCGTCTCGAGATGGTAGCGTTTAGGTTCGAGTGAAGTCCCCTGTTGATGGTACTTTTTGATTTAATTCCGCTACCATGTTGATGGGGGAGGGGGAGGGGAGGAATTAGGCCTCCGGCCACTTGCACTCACCAGACGAAACGCAGAAGCAGAGCTTCCACTTCACGCCGGTATTCTGTGAGGTCGTGGTACCAACCCGGCTTGAGCCGGCCCATACGTGCAACAGCAAAAGCTGCCGCGTGGCTCTACCACCGTTAAATTACTTTACTTTTCTAATCTTTATTGTTATTCAGAAATATTATTTATTTAAAACTATTTTGTGTTCTGCTTCTGCACAATATAATATAAGAAAGAGCAGGCTGAATGCATTTTTGTTTAAATATCATTTTATTTGGTCATTATTGAGAATCAAAGTTGTACCTTTTTTGGCATGCCTTCAACGTAGAAAGCCATATTTATTAAACTAACATTCATTTGTTATAAATTAATATGTTGTTGGTACGGCCACGGCAAATTTTTGTTATTTTATAAAAAATCATATATTTTAACGTTGTAAAAAACAAATTTAAGTGTATACTCGTACTTTTATAAACGACGAATGGTCGTATTGATTTTATAAAAGTTTCAAAGTTTCAAAATGTTTTTAATTAGTAGAACGATCGCGAAACTTAGTAGTCGGTGTATCTGCCAAGAGTTCGAGGTTTGTATGAATCGTCGATTTAAGGATGAAAATACGTCATAAAACGTAAATTTTGTTTATTATTATTATTAATTTATTCGCAAAATGTGACATTTTAAAACCAATAATAAATTTCGATTACGAATCAAATAGTTCAGAGTAAATGTAAAAGAATGACTAAACCCAATCTTTACAACTTATTTTTTTGTATATATTACGAGTAGGTCACCCGTGTAAATAAAGATTTATCAACTGAGACATAATATATTGTCCATTTTCAAGGTTAATTTATTATGTGTAAATAAATATGGCATGTTGTGTTATTTGACTTACATCTTATGTCAAAAAACTCATGGATTACCTACTCATAACTTGTAACTATATGTATAAGCTAAATGAAAGTAAAGTAAAATACAAAAAGGTTGAGTACTTTCTCTTAGTAATAAAGTAAATTTACTAGCCGTAAAAGAAGTAGCTTAATAAGTATGTATTTCATGATCCTTTTTAAGTTCTTTTCACCGTACAGTTTTTGTGCCGATGTACTTGAAGATAAACCTCGAAGAAAAAACCTCATCGAAGCTATAACATCCTGTCTCCCTCTACTCGTTGTACGTTTTACAGCCGAGCTGAATGGGTCACGGCTAAGATTTCCCTGCGGTCATTTGGGATTCATGAAAGAGAAATTGTAGCCTTAAGGAATATAAAGGACGCTGTAGGCTTAAGGAAACTCGTCAACTCCTTGCAGCGTCACTTTTCTTTCTGAATTTCCTTACAGTAATCTTAAAGCAGAAAGGTAGGTGATTTTTATGCTACTATTTTTAACAAGACGTGAATGTGAAATAACAAGAAGTAAATCCATATTAAAGGCAAGAAAGCATCTGTGGATTTTAAGCATTTTTTTAATAATATTAGAGTGAAGTGCCTAATCTCTAAATAGGGTCAGTAAGATAATTATTGTATTCCTTATTATGCAATATATGATTACATTTCACTAGATAAAAATAACCACCTTTATTCTTTTTTACAATTTGTACAAGAAGTCGAACTTGCATGAGTCATCAAGTTCAAGCTCTTAATAATTGCAATATTTATATTATAACTTAGTGTAGTATCTTATGATATTGTTGATTATTTTGAGAATATCATGTTGTATCATTTTCCTATTCATTATGCATTTGTAGAATTAGGCTCCATGGACCTTAAACGTTAAAACATTTAAAAAAAATTAAGTGAGAGGTGAACCTACAATCCACCTGGTGGAAGTGGCAAAGTGCGATTCGTAGACGTCTGCAGTCAAACAAAGATGTGTTGTCACCTCTGAGGCCTGAGATGGAAGGCTTTACAGCCTGTAACTATACTTGCTGTGCCATTTGGCGGCAGTATAGGTAATAGGAAGACAGACTCCTAGGCTGAAAAGGAGTCTTAACGTTTGTTTAGTGAATAAAAAAATAACATACCCTGCTTTTCGCACAGCTCCAGTACAGTTGAAAGAAGCTGCCGCAGCACCAGTCTGTTTACCCTTGTAAGGCGAATTCATTGCGCTTTCACCAGGTTCCTCTTCGTCCGATACAGCGGTAGTCAGCGACATGCGATCATCATCCGATATCTGATGAAATAAATAAACCATTAATTGATTATAGGTAATTTAAGAGTTTACACACGTCACTAAAGAATACAGATAAGAATCTTTCTTCGGTTTTACCGAAATTCATCGTATGAAGGATCTGTAAGGAGTTGTAATTAACTAGTGTTAGACATTGTGATAGTGTGATATGGGATGTACAGCTCAGTGAGTTTGAAGGTTATATAATCAATTTACATGATATTTACATGATAAACAGTTCTTAAATTATTTCAAAATACCAAATTGTTGGTCTCTTTTATAGCTAGATGGTCAGATTGGTCCAGTAAATACCTCAATGCTGACAGAAATAAAATATTCTTAGATCAAAATTCTTTTTATTTTGATGTAATGATACCGGGTATCTATCTATCTATTCATAAACTGAATAAATGTGAGTTTCATTAGAAAAATGACACCAATTTTATTCTTTTATTTTTGGTTTTTACGTAATTGCTACCATTTCGTGGCATTTTTGTTTATTACCATGATGAAAAAATTCAAAAGTCAAAAGTCAAACCAAAAAGTCTATGAAGATCATCTTGCTTAGGAGGCGGATTAGAGATCGCAATGCTGAGTAATATTTTCTTGAATTATTCTTTTAGACATTCCCTGGATTTGGTATCTGCATCTAGCTTATCTCTTTTAATTTTCTCCATAGTTAGTGTTCACTTCTCTCTTCTTTCACCCTATGATATCTCAAAGATTAATGAACCGATCTGGTTGAAACTTGATGTTTATAGTTGTATTGAGTTATCAAGTGCTGACAATTTAAAAAAAGTCCCCCTTTCCCTCTCTAACCCCTCCATTCGGCGAACTTTTTGACCCGCCCTCGTATGTCCATTATCCATCCATTACAGCCTGTAAAAATCCACTATAGTAAACAGGCCTTCCCAATAGATGGCATCATTCGGGAGAATTTGCCATAGTTACCACGCTTGGCAGGCTTTTAATATATAAAAGATTAAAATTTGAATATTATAATTGCTTGTGGTAAGAATTATTAGTAACTTACTTTAATTCTAACGTTCCCGTATATAAATAAACTCTTCGAATTTAATTCAAGAAGTGCTTTAAAGTTGCAACAGTCTAAAGTTCTTTCTCGACGCTCTAGAAGTTTCTTGACATGAGGAAATTATTATTAAGCGAAGTGAAAATAGAAATATAAAGCAAAATTTGTATTGAACTTTAACTTAGAACTTTGCCAATACTTTGATAACAAAAATATAAGAAACCATAATTTTAGTTTTCGCAACTATTACATTATATATTTTAACTTTTTGTTTTGACGGCTATATAGACTAACAATAAAAATTATTGCCTTAGTCGAGGGTATTGGGCATCTAGTATTATATATGTAAGTGATGGGTTGTAGTGGTAAGTGTGCAAGAGTAAGTTAATGTGGTGTAAACGACCCATACGAAGCACATCAGAATTAAGCTAATAGCAACTTGTAGTCTGTGAGAGCGTGGTCATTCCCCAGTCGAGCCGACCAATTTGTGTTGCAACTATAACATATCTTTCAACTATAACATAGCTGTAGCAAGGCTCTACCTCGTTTAAATCCCACACCGAGGAAGCTCCTTGTCCAGCCTGTGAGATAATTACGGACTGTCAAGAGATACAATTATATTTATTTAACGCTGGTATTCTGTGAGACTACTTACTAAAAATTTCAGCGATTGAATCTACAAAATCGGCTAAATTGCTACTAAAATAGAGGTCTAAGCGTATTTATATCAAAAATAACTTCAGTCCATACGGACACCAAAAACTATATTATGGCATCATATCATAACATCTCCATTTTAACCGACTTCAAAAAGAAAGAGGTTCTCAATTCGAGCGTATGTCTTTTTTTGTATGTATGTTACGCGATATCTTTGCAGATTGGGAACCAATTTTGATGAGTAGGTACTTGTACTTTAAGATACTTATTATATATCTACTAGTTAGAAAGGTTGCGGTAGTCAGCTATGCCCCATATAGTATATTATCTGTGATAAGGTGGTTAGGTTAGGTAAGGGTAGGTAATTAGTAGGTAAATTAAGAATTAATTTGTTCATTCTGATTCTGAAATAAATCGTAAATCAGTGTATGGCATTTTTGTGTCACCTAATGCTAGAAAATAACATTTGTGGAGTGTGGTCATCTTATATGGGCTGACTTGTAGTAAGGAACGTACTTAATGGCTAATAACATTAGCGGTAATGGATGATTACGTGGTAAATCAGCACTTAAAATTACAATTAACAATTTCATTGGTGCCGGTGGGGATCGAACCCGGGTTGCTCGAGTACTGTGAAGCTTACAGCGAGCGCTAACCATCTGAGCTACCACGGCTCGGCGATGAAGGAAAACTTCGTGAGGAAACCTGCATGTCTGAGACATAAAAAATATTTCGAAGACATGTGAAGTTCGCCAACACGCATTGGGGCAGCGCGGCGGACATTTCCCTGCCTTAAAACCCTCTCATAAATGAGAGGAGGCCTGTGCCCAGCAGGCTGCAACTTTACTTCACTTTTTACTTTAATGTTTTAACGCAACTTTTCCAGTACTCCTACTCCCTAGGCGTAGTCCCAAACTCATGGAAGACAGCTTAGGTGCACCCGATCCCTAAAAAAGGCTACCACTCAGATCCGTCCAACTACAGGCCTATCGCTATCACCTCCTTGTTCTCCAAAGTAATGGAAATCATTATTAACTGCCAGCTCATGTGGTACCTTGAGGATCACCAGCTGATTAGTGACCGCCAGTACGATATCCGTCGAGGTCGCTCGGGTTTGGCAGGAAACGCTTCTATCGAAGCTGCCTTCCTATGGGCTTCTCGAGAAATTGTGCAATTGGATCACGAGTTTCCTTCCAGATCGGAGCATCTAGGTCGCAGTAGAGGGTGCATGCTCGGATTACAAGCCCATTAACGCTGGTATTCCACAATGCTGTGTGCTATCACCAACGCTGTTTCTTCTGCATATCAATAATATGTTGCAAACCAGTAACATTCATTGCTATGCAGACGACAGCACTGGTGATGCTTTATACACCGGCCGTGCCAATATTTCTCGGGGAAACGTCGCTGAGTACCGGAAAAAACTTGTGTTTTTTCCGGTAAGTCGAGACTTTATTGAGCAGAGTCTCAGACTGAGGGCGACTAAATCTAGTCCAGTTCAATCCCCAGAAGATATAAGTTTGCGCGTTTACCGCTAAAAATAACCCCTTTGTCGTATCCCCTCAGTTTCAAGGTACTCCCCTTGTTGCCTCAGCCAGTACACGAATCCTCGGTGTCGACATATGTAGTGACGTACAGTTTCATGGTCACTTGGAAGAGAAAGCCAAATTGGCCTCTAAAAAGCTTGGCGTGCTCAGCAGAGCGGGACATTATTTCATTCCGGCACACCGCTTGCACCTTTACAAGGCGCAGGTTCAGCCTCACATGGAATACTATTCCCACCTCTGGACAGGGGCTCCCCAGTGCCAGCTCCTTCCACTTAACCACATCCAGCGCAGATTCGAGTGGTTCGAATCGTCGACGACCAAGTTCTTTCCGATCGGCTTGACTCACTGACACTGCGTAGGGATGTTGCATCTCTTTGCGTATTTTATCGCATCTATCACTGAGAGTGCTCTGAGGAATTGTTCGGACTAATTCCAACCGCTCAATTTCACCATCGCATATCGCAACAAAACTCGCGATAACATCCATACCATGTGGATGATTGGCGGTCCACCCCATTTAGAAGAAGTTTTTTTCCTCGCACAACTTCCTTGTGGAATTGATTACCACCGGCGATTTTTCCGGACCAATATGATGGGACCTTAAATAAAAGAGCCTTCTTCTCTTTAAATGGCTGGCAACGCATCTGCAAGTCCCCTGGTGTTGCAGTTGTTCATGGGCAGCGGTAGTCACTTACCATCAGGTGAGTCGCATAACCGTTTGCCTCCTCTCCTATAAAAAATAAGCTTTGGAAGAAAACTTCAGATTTTGACAAAAGAGAAAAACACCTTTTCTCTTACACTAAAGCATCGCATAATAATAATGATTTGTCGGCGTCTTTCCATCCGATAACAATCTGGGTGTCTTCAAGGTAAAAGTGAATTGGCTTTTGCCACACTATGACACTGCAATTTATCATCTAGGGCTTAATACCAACTTACTACCGGTTGGATTGTAGTCAAGCAATGTCTTAAAATTTTTGTAAAAAAATTATGTGGCCGAGTTAGAAAGAATGACACGCAAAAACAAATAACAAAAATCTGCGGGATCTGTTCGCCTGATTGTAAAAGATTGATATTATTAGGCAGCAACTGTTTGCAGAGTATCATGCACTAACCTTCGCCTACTTAGTAAAAGTGGCTGGTACAATAATAAGCTCGTTATAATTAGTAATCGTAGATATCATAAGTGCAGCGTATGGCGCGATGGCGGAACGGCGGTGCATTCAATAGCTTTTGCTAGGAAAAACAGAAAGAGGATGTTAGTGGCACGAGGTGGATATCGTGTGGAAACCACGAGCTGCGTTACGACATGGTGTGCGGAATGTGGCCGAAAAGGAAAGTGCAATATTTATAGAGAAACAACTGGCCATAACTACGAGGCTTTATAATTCCAAAATTACAGCAGGAGAAAGTGCACCGGCATAATATACTAATACCGATATAATATACCAATATTATGTATTAAAGATGCTCATTAAAGAGAAACAGGCACAATTATAACTTTAAGAAGTTTGTACGTTGTAATAACGAAGTCTGAATGATTTTGAATGAAAGCACTTATGACATGTAAATGGTGGGTAATGATTTTGATTTAATTTGACTAGACATCGATTTACTATTTCGCTATTAAGCCATTAGCAAGGATTTCTAACACAGCTAAATGGTAAATGCAGACTTGTACATTTTGCACAACAAAAAATAAGAATCATTATATGACTAAGCTGTGGGAACTATGGAGCTCTAAGAACTGTAAAACGGAAAAGAAATAT